ATATATATGGTTTAAATGTATTCCTCAGTAGTGGATTTCATTTCCATTAGATTCGATCTTGACAGGTTCGAGTCTGCAACAAATGCAAAAATGTGGAAAAATGTAACGCTTGTTTCTTCTCTATGCAAAACTAGTCTGTATCATACTCCGTCATTACTGGATAAGAAGCCTGAGATTCTTAGTAGTAGTACAATATAGTATAACTCTTACTACAGAATTACGGCGGTAATAAAGTAAGAAAACTAACCAGTGCAGCAAAATTCATGAGATAATTATCATGAGATGATATTCAACTCTTATGTATACACTTAGAAATAAAGGTTCTGTGCAGGTACATTTTTCATTCATCAAGGCACAATGTAAATGTTCCTTCAAAGGTACAGTGGTTTTAAGGTCCAACTGTGTAGCTTAAAGAAGTTTTCCCAAGTGAAAAGTACATATTTGTACCTTTTCATAACCTAATGTTTTAAAACAACAATAAATTAAAAGCCTGGAGACGAGACGGGGTGTGTGGAGTCAATACAACTTAGAAAATATAATTTCAGTGCATTATGATAAAATTATGTTCCCTGACTAAAGGTACTGAGATGAACCCTTGAGGGTACCACTGCAGTGACAAGAGGGGTACTGCCCTAGTGACAGTTTCGTACCTTTTTTTCTGAGTGTAGGTTACATTGTAAAAAGGAAGGCTGCCCTAAACTCACTATTAGAAGTTCAAGTAACTCATAGTTTTAAGGCGTTTTTAAAGGCGAAACAGCCTTTTCAGTATAAAGGAGCCAACCCAAAACCTGTCATTCACTCTCTACTAAATAATGACATTGCCTAAAAACTGTATGAATCATATTAACAGGTGGGTAAAGTACCCTAAACCCATACTCGGAAAAAAGTTTTATTACTTCTGTGAAATAACAGCTCCAGTTAAAGAAAGGGTATCCTTCCAAAAACACAACTTAAGAAGAAGTACAAAAGTATCAGGACAAAAAACTACTAATCATTTGCAGTAATCTGATTACCTTCTAGAACTGCAGTCAAACTTCTTACTACATTTAGCATATTTCAAGGAACTGAAGTTTGTTAGGTGTTATTCTTGTTTTTTCGATGCTCTTTTGGCCTAAAATACAATCATAAACCTCAAAGTCATAGGCGTGACTGAAATCAGTACAGATGCCATCACCAACATGAGACTGAATAAATTACCTTCCTCAAACATATTTGAGTAGAAGTATTATCATTTGAATTTGCAAAAATATCAACATTTGAAAATACTCCACCTATATTTTAAATGTAACTAGTTACTACCCACTGATGGACATAAATTAACTCTTAATTCTTACTCATTATACTAAACATGATAAGGGTTGGGTTAGGAAGACCAGAGTGGTTTCCCACTGGTGGATTAGTGAACAACCTTCAGGTTAATCTAGACAGAGCTTTGTGCTCAACAAACGCAACTATAACCAAAGGCAACCTTTTACAGGCCATATTAGCTCACCAGTCAGTGAATCTACAACTGTAGAACTGGCCCATCCTCCCCTACACACCAAAATCCACCATTGTGTTTGGCCTGGTAACCTTTGACCCCTATTTGGCCTCTGCACTTTGGACACCTGAGTGATCCTGACCTCCAGTGGTTGAGCAAAGCTACTACACACTCCTGTTCTCACTCCAAAGTGTGTGATCAGCAGACGATGGCATTTCCTTCTCTTACTTTAAGCTGGCTTTGATATAGGAGTGTACACAAAATACACACATTTGATTTTGCATCACAATATATTGTAATTCCATTAAACGATATCTGCCAGCTTTCATTTTGCCTTTATTTTTAGGATCAAAACAAGACTACAACCTGTGGTGAAAGCATATAATGTAACAGGTGAAACAGGGTAGAAGTTTGAATGGATGTAAAATAGTACTTTTGTTATTCTGAAGTAAAAATTTGCTTTTTGCATTGTTCCATTTAAAGCATGAAGGAAACCAGTTAAATTGCTTGTTACCACATGAAGTATTTTTGTAGCTGAAACAGATAAACCATTTTTGTAGTGTAATTAAAAGTCATTTTTTAATCTGTAAAACCAGTTTAAATACAAACTAAGTGTACATGTTTCTAGTGCCGTGCATGCTTTTTTTCTGTGGTTTTATCATTAAGGAATGTGTGCCTAAAAAAAACCCTTCACTGGGTCCAGATTTCCATTCCTCACTCAAGTTATTCAAAATTTCAGCACAGTTCAGTCGTCACTGTCCCACAAAAAACCATGTATCTCTTTTATCATTTCAACACAACCCAGATCATGTGGTTTGATGTGAAGTGGTTCACTGCAGAGAAACTTACAGACTCAGATGTCTTTACAGTGGCAGTGATAGGAACCTGGGGTCACAGTGTCTACAACACAAATACAGCCATTTTATTCACTATTAAAAATGACTTGTGTCTTTTATAGAGTTTTATATGTAATGTTGATGAAGGTCAAATTGTGGTCTGAAAATCTGAAAAATAAAGTTTTCTTTGGGGATTTTATTTTGTCTTACAACACCCCCCGCATGTATCACTCCATCTTGAAAGGATAAAAAAAAGGTTTTAGGCTAAAACCTTATCGCAAAACTATAGTAAAACAATTTCTAAAGCATCAGGCAGTGTATCAATAACCATTTTGGATAATAACTTTGTGTGAGGTAGACTATTGAGTCATTATATGTGTCGGGTGTCTGGTTCCTATTGCCATCAGTGACTTGGTAAGTTTCTCTAGAACTAAGCATTTTGAATCAAACAACTGTTTGATTCTATTACCTTTCTATTACCTATTACATTTGGAAGAATGGAGAATATCTCAGTCAATTTGCATTGTTTATCATGTAGTTAGTGAATAATAAGGCTAATGTAATACGTCTTGGAGAGTTTAAGGGGTCAATATATGTAACCTAACATATTTAATGTTTCAGGGATGTATATTGAGAGTGAGGTTCTTTAGAATGATGCCCTGGAATGAGTATTTTTGGAGATATACAACAATTAATGTGACTTAGGTTTGTTAAAAGAATGGTTCACCAAAAAAATTTCCCCTTAACCCAAATATAGCGCATCAGCCAAGTCATGTGTGCTTCTTCAGTTTCACAGTTGAGCTACGTGGCTAATATAATAGAAGTCCATGTCACTGTAAAAAATAAATAAATAAAAAATAATAACATTGGGTGACATACACTTCTATTACTTTAAGGCCTAATTAACCTAGTAGCTCCAATACAAAAAAAGCTAAATTCAGACCCCACACGTCTTGACCAGTCAACTAAACTCAAGGTAAGAGGGAAAGTGTCTAAATTACATTTTTTAGTGAACAATTTACTAAATGTGCATAGATGAGGGTAGTTTTAAATATTAGTACCAGCTTCTTGTATATTATTTTCACAAGTAAAAATATAAACACAATTATTATCAAAAATAAGTAATCTAAATAACACATTTGAGTAGCTATACTTTATATATGTGCTTTGAATCAAGTAATTTCAGTGCAGCACCGTTATTATGTGTAGTGTCTGCCACTGTCTCTGAGTCTCAGTCTCTCTCTTCAATTCTGACAAACACAAAATTAAAAAGGCAAATGAAAATGCTCTGCAAGGACCTCAAGTTCATTCTCCCATCATCACCAGCACAAAACTTCAATGTGACTCAGGGAGAACTTTCCAAAGAATGAGGTAATACTCGTAACTGAACTGAAACTGATCAAAGGTCTGAGCAAGACAGGGGTTTACACTGGCATCTCAGAGAAGTGGAGTAGTTTCAAAGTAAAAGCCTGAAATGAGGCCTTTCCCTTAAGTGACATAGGCCTGGTTTTCTCAGACACAGATTACACCTAGTCTTGACCTGAATTACAATGTCAGTGGAGATTATCCGCTAGAAATCCTTCAGCGTGTAAAAACGAGGCATAACCTGTGTCCACAAAACTAGCCCATGTTTAACTACAGAATAGCTAACAAAAATTGTAACCGGACAATTAAGGCAAAACTGTGTATCTGAAGTTTAGCTCAGAGAATACATCTAGAAGGAGTCTGCATGTCATAACTTACACCTTTGTTACAGTTAACAGTTAAGGGATAATACATTTCATGATACATACAACTCAATATATTTTGTTTGCTAATGTTGGTACTTTCCAATTCACCCCAAGCAATTATGGCATATCATTGAAAGTTCTTCTCTGACCCAGGAGACTAGAACCGACTAAAAATCTTTCTATTTTGCACTATTGTCTGCTGAATTGACAGCTTAGGGAAATTACATTCATTTTAGTGGGTGATTCATATTGAGCAATACTGAACCACTGTGCCATAAATATGATTTGTCTAATTACTACACTTTAGCTTTTATAGGAATTACATGCGGTGATAACCAAAAACACACTCTCCTATGTCGTGTAAAGGCAAAAAAACATGTAATAAAAGCTTCTCTGGTGTTTATCTACGTCGTCCATCATCTGTTGTTGCTATTAGACGTGGGTTCCTGTAACTGACGAGGTTTAATTCATTACATTCCCCCTGTTTTACTACCCTTCCCCCATTTTACTGCCTGCCTGCTCGGATTTGGGAAAGAAATGGAGGACTTCCGAACCCAAAACGCGACCAAGGGGGTTGGGTTCCTGAAGCTTAACAAACCCTCCAGCCCCGTTACGGCCAACCATGTATGTAAAACGGAGAGATATGTGATGTGAATGCTCGTGTGGTGTAGATTTTGTGGACTAAGCCTTATTATTGTAGTCCAAGACAACATGGCAGCGCCGTGGTGGCTGCGTGGTCGACACGGTGAGGAGGAAACGCGCAGCTCTAACGTTCTGAGGAAATCGTAGCACGTATAAACCAGCAAATGGGTTTAAAATAAGACTTTAACATTATCAACGTAACAACATAAACGCCACTTCTGCGACATGCCTTCCTTCGACTTCGTAGCCTCCTCTCTGTGTGTATATGTGTGTACTAGACTGTGCTTGATATCCCTGCGCGCTGGAGGGAGGGGGGCGTTGAGAATAAAGGGGACCCTCAACATCCGTGAGTTTATTTATTAGGCGAAAATGCGCCTTAAAGTGGCTAAATGTGACTCAAAGTTGAGCGGTTTGTCCGAACGAGCGCGGGGGCACGTTGTGTTGGAGAGGGGACTATTTGTCGGAGGGCGGAAGGCTGAGAGATATAGCCGGAACTTCTTCGCTGCCTTTGCCTGAGTGTCTGTGTGTGCGAGTGTGAGAGTGTGTATGTGTATATGTGTGTGTGTGTGTGTTGGGTGAATGGAGGCGCAGCTCTTCCTGGTGGTGAACAAACACTGACAACTACAGGGCAGCCGAGCTACCACTCGCACGGCCACACGCACCTTCTCCTTCAGCCCCAAAACAACGTGAAAAACATGGCAACTGACAGCAAACACGTCGCGCAGTTGAAGTCTGGTGAGTAAAGGCACCGTAAGGTTTGCTATGGGGATGTTTTTAAAACAATATATGTGTTCCCACAGCGCCCTTCTTCAGAGCTGTAGCTCATGTATTCTTCCTCCCTGATAGAACTGTACTTCCTAATAGCCCGGTTTTTAGAAGCTGGACCTTGTCAGGACGCGGCAGAGGTGGGTGATTTTGATATTTAAGATTATTAACTACATCCCTGCACGGGCTCGTGGCATATTTCAGCGTTTTTATGTCCTTTCCAGACCCTCATACGGGAGGTTCAGGAGAAGGAGGTAAGCTGCACAAGGCTACTCGGCGCTGCATCTCGCCGCACTGTAGTTCAGCGTGTTAATTCGTCGCTGATTTCTGATTTAATTTCCTTACAAATTCCATCCACTGACCTTTTAAAGCCTAACCCAGCCTTACAGCACTGTTTTTTCCATTACAGCTGCTACCCAAAAGGATAGACTGGACTGGAAAGGAGCACCCTGGGAGTTACGAAAATTTGGTAAGGGCTCCCTATAAGTGAGAAAAACTTTTTTAGAGGGCAAAATAAGAAATTGAATTTCCCGCAATTTTTAAATCAGGAGGAAAAAAATACCACGTCCAGAATGAAAGCAGAAAAAGTCAGGAGGGGAGAAAAAGCAGGGTCGCACTTGCGGGAGAGGTAAAGCCCTGAACTCGCTTTGACCCGAAGGGCTGCGTTTGGTGACCATAGGTTTAAATAGTTGGGGGAAAATGTAGTAGAAATAAAGATACGTCATGAGCGCTGTGCTGTAAGGGGCAGTGTGTGTTGGGGAGGAGGGATCAGTGCGCCAGTGTGTGTGTGTGAGAGAGAGAGAGAGAGAGAGAGCTGGGCGGGATGGAGGCGCCCTGCTCCATGCAACACAGCCACATTGACTAAAAGACACATGCTTTACCTCAGTTTATCACATTTAAACTGCGCTTTTTACCACGGGAATGTACAAAGCAGGAGGAGTAGGAGTTTAGAAGGACTGTAGGAGTTTTCTTGTTTATTTTGTGTGTTTTTTTTTTAATATCTCACCACTTGGAAATGATTCTCTTTTTGGGACCCTTGCACGAGACTTAAGGAGGACAGTTGCACAGGCGAGAGGTAAAACAAAATTGATATGATATTGATTAGGTTATTAATTAGTGTTGTGGAAAGGTAAACAAACAAGGCGTTGATTTATAGGCTTTCGCTTTCGCTGCTCTGCCGGTTCAGGAGCTCCCAGGAAGGCGGTGTTGGTTCCTGGTCGGGGTGCACATGATGAAATATTCTTTATTTTAAAAAGTTGGAGGTTTTGCCCCTCTGTTGTGCCCCCCACCCTCCTCCTCCCATCAGAAATATCAGTTGCGTAACTAACACAGCTGAAGGACTGTTTTATCTCACGGGCTGCTACAGACAGCAACACCCGGCGTGTTTTTCCGCTTCTCTCGGGTGGGATTGAGGGGGATTTGTGCTGTGGACAGCAGCGTTACTGCGAAAAAATATTTGAACGCGTCTCTCGTGCGCGTGGCGCGCGCTGACTCGGAACGATTAGGCTGCGTGTGTAGAGGTGTGTGTGTGTGTGTGTGTGTGTGTATGGAGGTGTGTGTGCGTGTATTTGTGTGTATTGTAGTTAATTCAGGGTCGCTCTCGTATTTGAGATTTGAAGCTCGCCTCATCATTTCGTGGAGAAAGAGCAGAAACAGCACCTGCGGTCGGCGCTATTTTATTATAGCGGTTATTATTTATACTATTATTTTTCATTATGTATTTTTACGCATGTCAACCGATCATGAATACAATGAGCCCGCCGCAGCATGGAATCGGTTTAATGCTAATAAATGAATAATACTAAAATATAAATAAAATAATAATAGTAAATTTAAAATTAGTAATAAAGATGATAATAATAAAATGTGTACATTAACGATTATATTCCATTGTCAGCATTATTAGTAATAGTAATAATAACATTATTAATTATAATAATAACATTAATAGCATTAATAATAATAAATTAGCCTTAATAATTACTGTTAATTACGTTAGACTATATTAACGACAGTTATTAAATATGATGCAAATGTCAGATAAAATATTAAAAAATAAAATTGAAATGGTGAAATGGAAATTTACATTTCATTCATGTGGCCACGAGCAGTGATCACAATTTTAATCACGTTCACGCGCGTCCTGCGTTCTCCGTTAATGCAGTCGTTACCATTATTGCAGGAATAAAACTGGTTAATTAACTATGCATGTCGTCAGTTCTCGGTTTGACATTACAGGCAGTATTCAGCGCCCTGTGTGTGTGTGTGTGTGTGCTGTAGTGGGCTTAAGATACAAATCAGCATCAGTAGCTCTACTCTCACTGTGTGTGCGCGCGCGGGCGCAGGGGGCTGGCGTATGTGGACCAATAGGATAATGCTAAATGCAATTAAAGCAACATTAATTACTGGCGAGGCGTTGGAAGCGGTTGCTGAACTGGCAGATAAAGAGCAGCCTGGAGACTGTAGACGGATTAGACTGATCCTGAAAAACATTACAAAACAGGTTCACACAGTTATTCAAGATTTTAAGAATTTAATCTAATATTAAACAAAGCACGCCTGCGCTCCAGATGTCAAGATCCAAATCATCCGGTTTGGAGCAATGCTTGTGTTACCCTTCTTAAAAAAGAAAATTGGACTAATTTACATTTATTTACATTTAGTGTTTTATTTAACAAATTTGTTTTTTTTGCTGCACATCTTTTCTGTGGAATCATCAGAATCATGACTTGGAGCTAATGTGACTGGGACTGATATGCAGCACGTTGTTTTGGTCTGTAATAGCAATGCATGTCTGCATGCCTGTGTGATGTTTCTCTGTGTGTGTGCAGGTGAAGCTGTATAGGCACATTTCTCCAGATCACTTGTTGCAAGTGTGTGATCGCGTGGGTCCTCTTTTGGAGAGAGAAGTGCCAGCCAGTGTACCTGGAGTTAACTCTTTACTGGGAGTCGGGCGCCAGTCACTTCTACGCACCAATAAGAGTGAGCATTCTCTCTTTTTCTTAAACATGCTGACAGATATCTGCTTTGCAGGATGCCGAAATTCAATACTTTTATAGTACTGACTGAATTGCTTCAATACTACAAAGTAGCACAAAATTCTGTGTGTTTTAAGACCAAATTTCAATAACTAAGTGGTCTTATTATCATCTGTGAACCAGTAAGCATGTGTGTTGTAAAATCTGGACTGGTAATTGGCTGTTTACGTTGCAGCGATTCTTGCTTAGGGTGCAATCTGTAGCACTCAGTAAATATACCCACTTCCATAACTCACTGCATGATTAAGCCACACACACTTTTGGTTCATAACTTTGAAAAATATATCCAAAAAAAGCATCAGTGTTGAAGTCAAGGTATCCGTATTGGTATTGATATTGTAACATTATGAATTATGCCCAGCCCTAGTAGTTACAGAGTAATAATATGCCTGCAGTTTAAGGGGTTACGTGGAAATACAGCTTTTTAGCATGGTAATAGCGTAGTTACAGTGTAAGACTGTTATTATAAAGTAGACACTTGTAGCTTGTTATCTGTTAAATATTAATAGCTGCATTTCAGAATATTTTTCTTTTCTCTGTAAGTATGCATTATTCTCACAATAGAATCAGCAGCAGTAAAATATGCGTATATTAATGAGAATCCACCGTTAGAGTATTAGTACGTGCCTCGAAAGCCTTGTGCTTGTGCTCTCACTCCTTCTGCATGTGTTTGTTGACAGTGCTTTGTGTGTGTTGACAGGTTGTAAGCACGTGGTATGGAAGGGGTCCGCCCTCGCAGCCCTGCACTGTGGCAGGCCACCCGAGCCGCCAGTCATCTATGGAAGCCCGCCCAACATTGGTACGCCACTTCTGATTGGCTGTGGTAGTTGAGTGAACCAAAATAAATATGGAAGTCAGTTCATTCAAGTGTTGGTGGCTGTATGGATGGAATAGCAGTTTTAAAATGGCCTATAACCACTGGAAAAGAAGATGCTTTGGTTTAAATGTGTGCGTAATTTCCACATGAATAAAATATATTACATTCCACACATTTTACAAAATACGTGGCAAAATTATTGCCCAAAGTATGTAAACTAAATTATAATTGTTCATGTCGAAATGATGTACATATTTGAATCGAGTCAGTTCAGTAGATCACTTTTTCAGTGATATTAGCTGCTGGAAATTATATATACAGTCTTGTGCAAAAGTTTCGGCGCCCCTGGTCAATTTACATGGTTTGTTGATTTTTCACTTCTGCACAGCATGTCTTCACATGTTAATGCACAGTTATTGTTTATTTGTGTGGTTTATCATGTTGGGAAGAAATAAACAATGTGTGCAAAAATTATGGCACAATTTACATTTTATGTTATTTTATGATATTTTCCCAGTATGTTAAACTCAGCAAATGATTAGAAATTGTGTGCTAAACTTATTTTCATTAAAAAGAATCAATAAAACATGTAATTTCACCAGGGGTATATATATATATATTTTTGGTCCTGTTGATAATACTGTTTTTCTAATTCCGGCATGTAATAATATTTAATATTTTTAACCATGTGAAAGATTGGGAGCCACTAACAAGAAGGGGTAGCCATACTTTTTCAACAAACACAGGCTTCTAAGAAGCCTTTAGAGCTGTTTGTTTGTTTATTTTTTAAGAAGAATTAAATATTTTTTGGTTTAATTCACAATAAAGTTGGAACTCCCTTTTATGCTCCAGCCAAAGTAGAAAGCCACTATATTAGCTGTAGTACAGCTTATTATTGTATAAACAGTACTGTGCAAAAGTTTTAGGCACCTATAAAAGTTACATTTAAAATGGTATTGTTGATGTCTATTAAAATAGATTTAAAACAATTTATTTTCTGCTTTTTGCTCAGAAAACAGACACTATTAGAATAAATACCATTAACACCACAAATAGTGATTTTGTGTCTGCTAATGTCTTTGTTTAACTATTTCTAAACCTCTTCTCATGGCAGCCCGGTGTTATTTGTAGTTATCATGCAATACTTGATTTGACTCAGTCAATACTTCATTATGCTATATCAGGTGTGCTGATGAAATTTAATAAATCCATGAAGTAGCTGGGGGGCATCCAGGAGAAATCTGGAACCAAAATGTGTTCTTCAGACTAGCTCACAAGATATTAACTACTATTTTGAAAACAAGAAATTAATTTTATTTTTGACTGTATTTATGTTTATTTACATTTATTCTAACAACATATGGTGTTTACAAGCTCAAGCACCCTTACTGCCTGAGTAAATAGTTTTAAAAAATGTTGCACAGTACAGAAATGTTTGCACAGTACCGTATGTGTATATACACATATACCATGTGTGCATCTGAAACCTGTCTCCTGTTCTCTCTTGTGTGTGCGCACAGTGGAGACAGCTTACAGTCGGAGGCTGAATGGATCGTATCGTTTGGGTCAGCTAGTCCCCACAGCCGTTTACTCACACATGAAGATGCACAAGAGGATTCTGGGACATCTGTCTTCTGTGTACTGCGTCGCCTTCGACCGGACTGGCCGCCGAATCTTCACGGTAAGCCTCTTGTGTGTATACGCTGCGTTTGTGTTTGTGTTAGGTGCAGGACTGATAGAATCAGATGAAATGAGATTGGATTATTTATGATTGCACATTTTCACACCCTGTAGTCAGCACTATACAGCTGTGCATTTGATACTCATTCACAGCAGAGGTGTTCCTTGTAGTGCAGTTTTGAAGAGTTATGCTTCAGTCGATTTTGGAATTTTTAGAGGAAGAGATCGCTACTCAATATCCTGGGTCGCTCTAGATCCTTCAAATGGTGTGTGGGTGCATGTATGTGCGACTATGTTCGTGTTTTCCAACCACAGAGTTTCTCTTGGATCAAAATCAGGAAAATGATATAGCTGGTAGAGAATACAGAGTTTGTTCTCCATAAATTGCTCACTTTTTATTTGCACTGAGATGAGATTGTGGGATGTTGTTGTTGTGGATAGTATTTATGCTTCTATATTTTCTTACATAATTTTGTTGATTTATTTTTACATTTCATGACGCCAGTGAAATCTTGTGACAGTTGGTGAATTAGACCAGGATTGAAGCTTGATGTTTGACTTGGCAGGTGTTGCAATTTTATAGTTTTCCAGTTTTGTAAGAATTTGTGATTTCCAGTGATGGACACATCTGAAGACTTGATGAGCTTGCAGTTCTCAATAGTGAATGATAGGGGGTGAAAGTGTTCTTTATGCTGGATATCAAGGAAGGAATGGAGTGTTTCTGCCAGTGTGCATATTCATAATAAACTCCAGGCTTATTGTCTGGCTGTTAATTTGAAGGACTTATTCAGAAACTACCAGGGGAAGGAGCCCTGTTGTTGGAATATTGTGATTTAAATCCTGACAGTGCTGGGAGTCCATCTGGGCGTACTTGGCCCTGTTCAGTTGGATGTGGCATGCAATATGTGAGGTTTTAATAATAAAATGAAAAGGAAAAATAATTATATGGAAAATAGCATCATAATACACAAAGTGTTTGATAGCATTTTCTAAACTCTTAGCTTGTTGTGATCATGAACTTAATTAATTAATTAATCATATAAAGAATTGCGATTAACGATTGTCTTTTCCTGTTCGATTTAAACACCTATTAAAGCACAATCCTAAGCAGCTAAACTGGCTGATTACTTAACTTACTTCCTAGCTGTCTTTCCTTTGCAGTTAACACTAGGAATGGTGCTACGCTGTTGTGTGAAGGACAGAATTATGTGTAGAGTTAAACAATTCTGACATTTTTCTATTGAAACTGTAAAATTGTGGGCAAAAAAAAGCTTATTCTGCATACATGCTAAAATTTGCTACCCATAAACAAACAAGTTGTCCCCAAATGTGTTGTAGTACCCGGTTAAGGGTCACAGCTTTTACTGTTTTCATAATACCCATAACTCGTGCCAAGGAATGTTTCCTCCTTTCTTTTAGTCACATGTAGTTATTTCAACCCAACTGATGAAAACTGATGAAAATGCATTCTGCTTGTTGTGCGACACTGATTGTGAAACAACTAACAACAGTGGAAAATATTGCGGTCAGTTTAAATAATTGCACTCATCTTAAATAATTATGATTAGGCAATTACGTAATAGTTGTTACAGGCTTAACGCCATGGAACCACTGACCGTTCCAGGATTGCGTTCCTCACTATAACTTAAGAATACCTCCGCTACCTTTATTTTCTGTGTAATTACTGATTAAGAGTCCTTAGGATATAATAAATCACCAGATTTTTGAAAAAATGACATAAACAAGCATTCAACTGCTCCTCTTATTTATAACACAAAATCACAAAGTCTTGACCTCAGAATCTAAAATCACTGGCATAGAATTCTTTTTTCAGTAGCCCTCAAATGGTGGGCAAAAATGTTATAATGTGTAAATTATCATTACTAGCAACCAAGACAATCAGCTTCCATTTAATTTGAACTATATGTAGAACATATTGACTTGTGTGGACTGTAACCACTATGAGAGTTAAACAATCGTCTGCATCAGTGTTTCCCAACTCGGTCCTCAGGGCCCCCCAGACAGTCCACATTTTTGCTCCAACCAACTCACAGCACATAGGGATGAAGGAAAAATGTGGACCATCTGAGGGGGCTCTGAGGACCAGATTGGGAAACACTAGTTTATATATTACATGGCAAGTGGCAGTTTGGGGTCCAAGCACTATGTGCCTTATGGAGCCAGTAGAATCCAAAAGATGTGCAATGAATGGCCTCCTTTTATATTAGATGCAGGGTCTCTAAAGGTGATATCTGCCAAATTTTGTACATACTGAGCTTTTGACCTTGCAACAGTTTTTTTAACAAATAAATTAAAATACTTTTGGGGCTTGTGTTTACATGAGCTAAATACTTCCACAACAGTTATCCTTGTATTTCAGTCTCATATTGCCAAGAATTTGATGTTAAATCGCTAAAACGTTCTTATAGGAACATAGGAACAATGCCTCCTAACCCCTCTACAGGGGATTAGTTTTTTCACTGCTCATGTTTTTCATATCTAGTTATGTAGTTATGAGAGTGAGGAGCTGACATGTGGATTCACAGACATTCCTGCCAAAAAACTGAGCAATTTTGTTGAACAAACTCATCATCATTCCCACATCCTTTGTTTGACCTTACATACCCCTGCGGAACATCTAAATGCCCGTGGAACAACTTTCAGATTTAATGCTTGACTTATTCTGTGGTTTAAAAGTTACTGAATGCACCTGATGGTGAATACCTCTTGTTGAGGTTGTTGCATTGCATTCTTGCTTTTTTTCTCTGAATGATTCTTTGTAAACCCATTAAAACCCTAAAAACCTGGATGTAGGCCTCATATCTGTCCCTCAGCCTTGTTGTGGAACAATAAGTCTTAAGATTACATATACAGTGAAAAGAGTGCTACATTGAATTTAACTGATTAAAGTGTGTGCATCCTGCACTTGATTAAAAATAAATTGCATTAACAGTAATTTGTCATTCAGTTTATTTAACTTTGACAATAACAGTGATTATTATGGACTTTTTTATTTTGTATTAGTGCTGGCTTGCATGCTAATATCCATCCTTTATCTTTATAAGCAGATAATAGCTATAAAAAAAAAGCTGTAGTGATGTCTGTATTTATGTAATATTTGCATTGAATCCCAGTTCATTGATTAACAGACTGTGCTTTTTTAGCTATGAATTAAATTTGTGGTGCTTTGCAGAGATGATATTATCCCAGTTTACTAACTGATTGTAAAAAGTAAGTAAATTGAAAGTTCATGTAATGTAGTGTATTTATGTGGAATTGATGTTTGTTGATTGCATAACTTTTTTAGTGATATCAGCTGAATTATGTTATATATATATATGGTGATAGTATAATTTCTTTTCTCACACCGTAACCTTTGGTGTAGCTCTGTCATGTGTTTGTTAAGGTTGTGAGAGAGTTATTTTTAGGCTTCCTTTTTGTTTTGTTTTTTCTTGCTGATGTCTGCTTCTGCACTGTTGGGTTCCATTTTCTTCTGCAATAGTTTTTTAAATCTCCAAAAATGGCTGAACAGCAAAGATTACTCCCCCCCCATCTCTCCCTCCCTTCCATCCCTCCTTTCTCCTTCTCTTTCTCCTTCTCTATCCCTCCCCTCCGTCTCTTTCTCTCTCTCTCTCTCTCTCTCTGTTGGGGGTGTGTCTCTCTATGTGCATGGTTTCTTTTGTGGCTCTGGCAGAAAGCCAAGAATAGAATCATCATCTCCTTCATATTCTGGAGCTATTAGCCAGTGTGTCATTGGCATTCTGTCTGTGCTTAACATGCGTCTTCAGGAAAGCGCCTCTCGCTACATGTCCTGAGGCCCGAGCTGCCGCTCTTTTACGCGTTCAGTGTGCATTTGAAGCAGTGAAACGTGTGCTGTGTATCAAGCTGCTTTTACGCGTTTGCAGCTCAATTAGGACACTTTTAATCATTCCGAGATCCAGCAGCGTCAAACCGGAGTACATTCAAGTGAAGCAATAGCATTGTTTTTGTGGCTTCTCCTGCTGATATTTCATTGTTTTTTGAAAGATGAGTGTTAAATGAAGTTGAGAGCTGCAGGTATCGTTCTCTTTTGTCTGCTGCTTTGCTCATTGTCATTAGAATTGTCATTGCTGCGGTTTGAGACGTGGCAGCGTCAGTGATTGTGATAAATGCTGTGGTATTGTAAATATATATTTCAGTGAGTGAAACAGTCAGAAACAAGAACAATATCAGCTGTATATACAACATATAGCAGCTTCTTTATTATAAGAATCAAACTATTTATTGCTAATGTGCAGTGCTCTGGAAAGGTCTGAGACCACCTGAAAAAATTCAATATAAAGGTGTTTATCTGGCTAGTAAGCATTCATTGCTTAAATAACATTAGAATAAATGACAAAAAAATACAGTCTGATTTAATGTGGTAGTGTTAGTTTAACCATTACCAAATCTTCTAAATCATCAAGGAGGTCCAGTATGTACAGTTACCATCTAATACCTAGTTTATCTAATCAGTCCTTCATTAAATTAAATCAGGTGCTGCTGATGGAGTTCACCCCGTGGCTGGAGTGCAGCAAGATGTCAGGAACCAGATCTAGGTTCTTCTCACTAAAATATCAATCAGCTCTAATGAAAACAAAACAATCATCTCTCATTTTACTGTTATTTGTATTTATTCTAATATTACATATGAAATAAACAGTTTTGAATATGGCTGAAAAAACGTGAACACAGTACTACAGTACTGTACACTGTTGTTGTCATATTAAAACCTCCTAACTCCTTGTTTGTGTTTTCATGTTCAAATTCTTTGACTTTCTGTCGGTTCTGATTTGAAGGAAAGCAAATGTAGGACTGCCTAAAAAATTATGATTTGTTTTATTACTCAGATAATTTCATTGAGGTCTGAAGATTTAATCTGTTTAAAGTACAAGCTGAACTGTGCTATGGTGTTGCTTACTGGTTGGATCTGGAAAAGTGTACCAGTATCTGAGCTGTAGATACGCGTTCCTATGATGTGACTGAATAGATAAAGATTTTAATGCATTCATTTTGTCTAAAATGCTGTTACTTATTAGATTTTTAGATTTTCATGTTGTAGTGTTCCATTTGTCTTAATTGTACAAAAAAGGGAATATTTGATAGTGTGGTATTTAATCTGTTGTTAATCAGGCATGTTCACCAGTGGAGGATTTTCACACTGAGGTGGAATTTCACTGAATGCCATTTTCCTTCTCCTGTCATTCCAAGCTGATTTTAATTTGTCTCAGTTCCAGCGTCTAGTCCAACTCTCAGAACTGAATTGAAATGAAATGAATCGGTCAGTTCTTACTTCGAGGGCCTTTAACTACAATTAATTAATCAAGCTTTTCCTTTTGCTTTTGCTTTTTCCACTCCTTTTGAGTGTGTGTTCAGTGGAGACATGTTAACCCATTAATTTCTGTATGTGAAATGTTAAGTGTCACTTCTTGAGTCATTCAAGCCATATGGCTTAAAGTGAGTTATCACTTCTTTTATCATACTAAATGCAATGTTTTGGTCACTTGAGTCTGTTTTTACCAAAACAGCAGTTCAAATTTAATTGTGAATAAAAGTATGAAAATTGCATGTAATCAAAAACATTTAAATGGCTACTGCTGGATGTTCAAATCCAAAGTATAATTGCAGACTTTCATCACTTCATGAAAATAAAAAATTAAAGCAAATTCTGTGTTATTTTTTACTCTTATCATTCTAAATGTTGTTGTTGGACATGAATGGGTCAACATGGGCACAGACCAGAGGAAAATTTAGCATTTGGAAACACCATAAACCATTTTACTTCTGGCTTCTATCAAGCGCTTTTACAAAAATATTTTTGATTATGTGGTCCAAGAGTATGTTTCACAGTGAGTCTTTTATTTCAGAAGTTATGCTTGTAGCTTCCACACTGTAGCAAGATGAACTCAGTTTCATACTACAAACAAGGAACGAAACCCAGCACATATAAAGTCATCCACAGAGTACAACCTTGATCCTTAGAATTTGAGAGTTATTACTTTTGCTGTACTTTTGAAAAGTGTTTGAAAGGTTTGTATTTAATTACATGAGTGAGTTACACAATGATTTATATTTAGAGTACTACGCAAAAGTCAGAGACCACCCTTTTGTTTCATTTGCTGTCAAAATGTTATTAAAAAAGTTATTTATTTTTTAGCATCAGAAAAAAGGAGAAAACGTTTATAACAGAAAGTTACAGAAACCCTTTGTAACTAAATATATTTTGTTCAGTATTCCTTATGACTTGCATTCAGTTCTTCAAAGAAATCTGCACAGATATTTTTCCACACCTCCAAAATTCAGTCTTAGAAGTTGTTTGCACTTTTTTAATTCTCAAAATCTAGAGAAACAGGAATGTATTGCATTGACCTCATGACCTCTATTTATCAACTGCAGAGTAAGAGATGGAGATGAGGAAGGTTTTATGTTAAAACCAGTATGATTTCATTTCAGAGAAGTGTTTGGTTAATGGCTTGTGTGGTGTTTATTTTCAGGGTTCAGATGACTGTCTCGTGAAGATTTGGGCCACGGATGACGGGCGTCTGCTGGCCACCCTGAGGGGTCATGCTGCAGAAATCTCAGACATGGCAGTGAATTACGAGAACACGCTGCTAGCCGCTGGGAGCTGTGATAAGATGATCAGGGTTTGGTGTCTGCAGACGTGTGCTCCCCTCGCTGTGCTGGAGGGACACGCAGCATCCATAACATCACTACAGGTACATGCACACAAATTACAGCTCAAATGATATGAACATTTTGTGACTGGTACTGATACTGATTTTAGAGAGCTAAAAATTAAATATTAAAATGGTGACATCAGCTAGTATAACTTAATATGGTCAAATGTCAGTCATTTTAAGTAAACAGTGTTTTAGTTACTGATGTGTGATTGTTGTCACATTTCTTAAACCTACATAATGACAGAAACTCACAAATCTTAAGAATGAGTTGTGCAGATTTATAGAATTTGTTCTTTTTTCTTAATTAAGCTTTGCTTTTCCTGCTTCTCATCAGTTTCAGCATTAGCTTTTGGTGTTGCGTTAGATCAGTACTTCAGCATCAGTGACACTGTGTGTCCTTGTTTTATTTTTGGTTGTGTTTTGTGTTTATTCACCATTTTAGCCTGTATTGTTTTAATATAGGTCAGCAATAGTCTGTCAGTCTCTATAAGGTTTGGCTTAAGAACATAAAAAACTATTAAATCCTCAGAAATTAACAGTTTTCGTGACATTTGAAGTGTCTGTCTGTTACTGGGTCTGGGGTACCTCAGTATTGGTTGATGTTGTCAGCCAACCAACAATCAGTCAGCCAAAATACACATGCTGTGGCCATCAAAAGTTTGGGGATGCCTAGCTTTTCAAAAAGATTTTTAGCATGTTTTATTACTTTGTAGTAACTTACCGTAATTACTCAGGAGGTTTAGTTAGAGTAAAACATTATAATAGTAAATATTTATTGAAATGCGAGCATCATCAGCACTCAAACCTTTCAGGTGTTTAACCCTTTAATGATGACCCAAAAAAGTGTCTCTTCTTTGTGATTTCCCAGTGCATTTGTTTATCTGAGATATAAAGAACTGGTTTTATTTAGTTTATACCACTATATTCCTTCTTGAACAGGAAAACACAAAACAATAATAAGCGCTTACTGATTCGAACTGCACTCTGAATGCATCCCGCAATAAAGGAAGCATAATGCATCTTTTAGAGAGTGATAGAAAATACAGTAATGCGCAAAAAGCTTCTACACCCTGATACATTTTTTTATACGGCCCCCATAACTCCTCTTGCGGGAGATTTGCACTAGTTTAAGGGGCCGACACCAAATTCTCAGACTGAATCACCGAAGCTTAGTTTGGTGGGGTTAAATCACCACTGAGCCAAAGTAATATAATAATTTAAATTGAATAAGTAATTGAAAAGATATTACAAGGCGAGCTGTCTCCAAACCTTCGACGCAGTGCATACATAAACGTGTAAACACATATTTATTCAAACCCACAAACCTACATGCATACACATATGTCTACAAACATATGCTCTACCAACTGGAATGACACTGTGGTGCATTATTGTTTTTTGGGGTGTGTGTGTGTGTGTGTGTGTGTGTGTGTGTGTGTGTAGTTCTCTCCTCTTTGCAGTGGTAATAAGAGGTTCCTGTCCTCCACTGGTGCAGATGGAACCATCTGCTTCTGGCAGTGGGATGCTCGCACACTTAAATTTGGGTGAGTGATATTAACTCCCTACCACAGAAAACACATCATTTCTTTTAGTTGCTATTCTAGGATACATTGGAATTGTAAGACTGTGTTCAAACTATACTCAGAATTTCCATTTTAATTTTTCTGTAATATCATGTAACGTGTGTGTGTGTGTGTGTGTGTGTTTTGTTTGTGCGTGTCTATACAGGCTACGACCCAGCAAATTCACAGAGCGGCCCAGGCCAGGTGTGCAGATGATATGTTCATCTTTTAGTGCAGGTAATCACACCCAGCTCTTTTACTCTACCTTTATCACTTTAGGTCTCATCAATTGCTGGATGGGTGATGTAACTGAGTATTAGCAATGATTGAAAAGTTACTTGTTTCTAGTGTTTGACATGATTATCATGTTTGGAAAAGTAAATAATAAAGAAAGGCCTAATTTTAAACAGCATGCCCATTAATATTGAATACCATTTAGGGGAGAGTGAAGCGCAACCTAATACTAAATCATTAAAACAATATTTAAACAAGATTAATAATTGTTTTATACAAGCAACCTATAAAACATAAACTGTCAAAACATAAGCAATACATAAAGTTTGTTTCAGGCACAAAATATCATATCCCTAAACAGTTCTGCCAAAAACTGCTTGATTTGAAATGTTACCTTACCCCGGAGGGTAAACTAGGTGTGGTCAGTTGTAACAGATGGGGGTGGGTGGAGGGGGGAACTCTGGTAAATTGATGCAAAAATAATTTAATTATATAGAATACATGTTGTATAAACCAAACAAACCTTCTAACCTAAATTCATAAAAAAATTGGGCATAAAAATGAATATTTGTAGAGAAAGAGGCTGTCAAACAATATACTTTTGACCACAAAGGAGAAGAGGTAATATCAAAACAATAAAGTTGAAATATATTTTATTTACATAACATCTATAGTGCGTCATTGATGAATCTCTATACTGATGCACCAAAATGAAAATTCTTCACTGAAACTGAAATCAAATCTCTGCACCCCTTTCACCAAAAACTGGTGAAAAAACATTTTCGGTAAACAAAGTTGGATTTAGATTTCTATGCATCTGTGTGCTAAATAAAAAAAAAAAACTGTCGTGTATTTTCTTGCAGGATATGTGTGATCCTCATCTGTTTACTTTGGGGTTCTTAATTGTAGCTTGTCAAAACTAACCCTACTGTGGGAGGCTGTACTTTAGCCTGGCTAGCTCTAAGTATGAGAGGCCTCAAATTAGTACTGTATTAAAGGCACTAAAAGAGGGTGATAAACTAATTGAATAATAATAATAATAATTATTATTATTATTATTATTATAATTATAAAAAACTCAATCATTAAAAAATATGATTGAAAAACTGCTTTAATTGTACAAAAATTCAGGGTAAATCTCAAAAAATATCTGTCTGATTGCTGTGAAAATTTGCAGGTGATTTTGCTGTAAGAATATGGGAAGGTGGATAGAAGCTTGGTTGTTTATTTTAAATTTTACCCCTCTCACCCCTGCATGTAATGTTTTCTTTCACATGTTCTATCATTGACCTAAGACTGTTAAAATAATAGATTGTTTCAAGGTATATACAATTGACAAAACCAGACACACCCCTTCATTACTTTTACACCTTTGTAGCTGCTAGGCTATGTTATATTGTAGAGAAAGAAAATTGTAATAATTGTTGTTTTCATACCATCCAGCACTTTATAGCTCTACTGTCCCAGTGCGTTTATGATAAACATGTCATACATTATAATGTAATACACAGTTACACAAGCTTGTAACCAAATCTAATGATGTCATATTTACCAGCTGGAATTTTTCAACAGAAACCTAGTAGTCTGTTATCATTGGTATTTCCCTTTAATTCCTGAACCTGTTGCTGTGTTGCTCTGTGTGGGTAAAGGCAGTGCGGCAGCTGGATTGATTAGGCTTAAACTTGCTTCCTCAAAGTGGAGCTAAAAATATCCTGTTTTCAGACAGATACCACAGAGTCTCTGCAGAAAAAGTATTCACTGTGACAGGAGATCTTTAAAAACCTTATCAAAGTAATGCTACCATCTCACTGTGACAAAACCACACACACACACACACTCACACACACACACACACACACTCCTTCATTAGTTTTAGACCTCTGTTACTATGCTTCACATGTTTTGAGCAGCTTTTGCATTTTTCCTCAGAAACACTAATTAATGCAGATATACTGTTTACTATGTTTGGCTGAACAAATAGTTAACACTTGAAATTTGCTGTACGTAATTTGCTATACATTTAGCTTACAATAAAAAATTTATATTAATATAGTTGTGTAGTTATTTCTACATTTGCTTCAGTGAGCTACAAGTGAGAAATAACCTGCTTTTTATTAAAAGTAATGTTCACAGTAGCATTAACTGCATAATTAGCAGAAGCCCATGTTGCTGTTGGGAGTTTTACAGTTAACTTGATATTTAGTGCTGTTTTGATGATGTATTAATTAAATTCTGTTCTGAATAATGGACTTTTGACACTGCTCAGAACGCAGTATGTGAATCATTAATTGAACTTAAGAGAAGACATGCTGATTTTCTTAGCAAAGCTGCCGAAACCTGTTTTATTTCCATATTTATAGTTATTACTTGAGACAACTCTGGAGTCATCAGTGTCTTTTTGCTATACTATGTAATGACATAATTACATAATTAATTATGTAATTATGTAATGAATTACATTCTGTATCGACAGGTTTGTGTCTGCACCTCCGAATTTTTCAGTGTGTTTTGTTGTGCAGAAATGGCAAAAACACGAAAAAAACGTACAGGCTATTTTTTTTCCACAAAACACAATAATTTTTCATCAAATGGCATGACTGTTTTCGGTGTAAGTGCAGAGTTTTCATGTTTATTTTTTAGTTATATATTAATTCACAGCCAACTCCAGAATTATTGGCACCCTTAAAATCAGTGCTTTTCAGCATATCTAGTCACTTCTTTGCCAAACGTGACAATGGTGTCCATGACCAAAAAGTACAATTGTCTCATCTGGCCACATCACACAATTCCACTTGTAGTTACAGTGATATTTTGTAAAGTTCAGGTACTGCATGTTGTGACTCGCTCTTAGGAAAGTCTTATTTTGTGGGACTCTTCATCATGAAGGTGGTGTCTGACAGTGAATTCTGAAATTTTAAAACCCCAAAAAGTGTTTCATGCTTTTCAGATTTTTAATTATCATTTATTATTATTATTATTATTGTTATTATTTATTGTGCTTAATGGTAATTTCAACAGTTTTTAGAACCGTTTCTTATTCTGTGCAGGTCCACAACCTTCTGTGTCATTTGAGTTGGCAGCTCTTTGGTTTTATGCATGTTGATTGATATCAAAAGGGTTTTTACATGTGTGCAACTTTATATTTATGCCCCAGGGAAACAGGAAATGGTCATAGACAACAAGGGAGATCCAGGAGGTTAGGAGCAATAAAAAGAAAGATTTCTACCCCCAAAGATGAAAATTTCTTTGGTTTTATTTAAATTCTTTTGTTTTTATTATTCTTTAGGGGTGCCAGTAATTTTGCACAGTCTGTTTTTGAAACAATACACCATTCTTCAAACAACACCCCTGTAGGAATAATTTGTATGCATTTTTTATGTTATATGACTGTTCTTGCCCAGTTTATTGAGCAGTGCCAATAATTCTGGAGTTGACTGATTGCACAATATGGACAAGAGAGGAAACAGAACTAGCAGCCAAAAGTTGTGGAGGAAAAATATTTGATGTAAAATGGTGCACTGTAGAGAAACTTACAGACCCTTCTGATTTGTATATGTCATGTTGGTGATGGTAAAATAGTGGTATATCCGGAAAAAGAAGTTTTTATTTATTTTTACCCTAAATAGATTTAAACAAATACATATTAGGCCAAAAGTTCTGTAACCATTTCATGTAATACTTTTGTGTGAGGGAGCTTTTAAAGGCATTAAACTCTTAAGACGTCTGCCTCCGATCTCCACCACTATGAACAAATCTTATCGAATCAGTGAAGAATCAGTGAAATTCCCTTCAACTTCAGTTTTCTTATTATACATCCCAAGTGAACATGTACTGATTGTATGTAAATTCATGCTGTTATTAATCACTGTGTTTCAGGTGGGATGTTTCTGGCCACAGGCAGCACCGATCACATTATCAGAGTTTATTACTTTGGTGGAGACCAACCAGAGAAGATAGCTGAGCTGGAATCGCACACTGTGAGTGTCTGTGTGTACACAAGTTTTATGAATTCACTCACCTGAACTCTTCGTTCTGACAATTTAATTGATTGTGTTTTTTTGTCATTTTTGATCATTTTCAACACTTTTGCAGGATAAAGTGGACAGCATCCAGTTCTCACACGGAGGAGACAGGTGAGGAGTTATCACTAATTGTGTGCGTGTGGAGGAAGGTGTGGGGGGGGTTGTGATTTGTGCTGTTGAAGGATTTTTACTTAGAATAATGAAACCTGCGGGTATTATGAGCTGATGGTGTCAGCAAAAAAGAAAAACAAGAAAGAAATAAACACACATCCAACGCTTCTGGTAACGCCCACGCATGCACACCCACAAGAATGTTTTAACATAAGTACACACAAACACACACGTAGACACACATTTCAAGTGGTTACATGTCAATTTTAGAAGCATCATGCAAATTTCAGGTTCTTTTGCAATAACAGGTACAGTGAGGCTTACACTACACAAATCACATCTTTCTCTTCCTCTCAGAGGATGTCTCTCTATTTCCCTCTGTCACACTGATTTTAATGAAGGGAAGGGGAGGGAGGTCGAGAGAGACAGAACAAGAGAGTGAGAGAGGTGTATAACGGGACCCAAGGGTATTAGAAATAGACATGCTTGTATTCATAGAGAATATTTTAACAAGGAGCCGCTTAGTGCAAAATAACAAAAGAGTGGAAAAAAATGAAAAACGAGGCCCGGGTTGTAATATTATAAGCTAAACTATGAAAAAAACATGATTTACATGAGAAAGAAAGCTACATGCAACCACTACTTTCAGTCAGCACACCAACAGATACAGTTATGAAAAGGCAGTTAATCGGGAATGCTTTAAAAAAATAGGCATCAGACAGATTTGATCTGTTTTCCAAAGTGACATTTGATGATATATTTAATATACAAGCAGTGTTTAGGTGACTCTGGGTTACTGTGCTAAAATATCTGTATTGTTTTGTTTGTTTTCTGCATTTGTGACGGGTCAGATATCAGCATTAGCCCAAAATTTTGTGCACCCCTACAATTACTATTCATACAGTGGGATACACAGTCATATGTAAAAGTTTTGGCGCCCCTGGTCAAATGATGTTTTGTTTATTATGTAAGTGAACACAGATCAGCACGTCCTCTATAGAGGACACATTTTTATTTTTATTTTATTATCACTGTTTGCTGAATTTAACATATTGGAAAAAAAATAAAACATAAAATGTGGACTCTACAAACATTTTTTGGCACATTTTTATTATTAATTTTCTTATTAATATTTATTATTTATTTTAAATTAAGCAAATAAGTAAAATAAGTAGAAATTGTGCACTAATATTGGCAGATAAAAATGTCATATTTAAGTTTTTTGTCTGTAGAGGATGTGTTCCACTTAGAAAATCTGGTGCATAAGAGTGTAAGCTTCCATTACTTGGTAGGAACATTAACTCTGCTGCAAAACTAAAGAAGCAAACTTAAGGCACGTCTTGGCTGATCGACTGCGTTTGGGTTAAAGGGGAAAACTGTGTAAATTTGATTTTTCACCAAACTTTCACTTTTATCAGCAGCGCCCTAGTGAGTGTTCTTTGGAATTCTGCTTTGCAAATAACCTAGTTTTTGGTGTTGTGTGTGTGTGTGTGTGTGTGTGTGTGTGTGTTTGTGTGTGTGCAGGTTTGTTAGTGGCAGTAGAGACGGCACAGCAAGGGTTTGGCAGCTGCAGCAGCAGGATTGGAGGAGTATCCTGCTGGACATGGCCACCAAACTGCCAGGGTAACACACTTATACCACAACCACTCCAGCTCCATCGAATTACCAAATATACAGCACAGTGCAAAAGTTTTAGACCCCTGGGAAGTTAGAGTTAAAAAGCTGTTTATCTGTTCAGTAAGCATTATTATTATTATCTATGTCATTTAATTAATAATTGTATTAGTGTTATTGGTGTTTATTCTAACATTAAAGTAGTTGTATTATATTAATGTTAGAATAAATTCAAGTCCAATTAATACAGTAATAATGATTTTATGTACATTTAACCATTTCCAAACCTCTCTGTGTGCCAGCCCATTTGTAGTTATTGTCCAACATATTGTTTAAATAAATACTTATAAATAATAAGAAGTAATAATAGAAGGAGAAATCTGGAACCAAACACCTTCAAACCAGCTCATAAGATAACAACTACTTTTTTAAAATAGAAAATGTGGTATTTTTAGGTTTGTTTGCATTACTTTAATAATGTGTGGTGATTTTACAAGCAAAAATACTGCCAAGTTAAATAATTTATAATAGTATAGTATTTATAATAGTATACTTCGGTGCATAATATGTACATAAGTACAAAAGAAATAGGCAGCCATAAAATCTTTATAACATTACAATAAACACAAATAAACATAAATACAGTAAAAAGCAGCAAGAATTTTTTTAGGTTCTTTTTTAAGCTTTTAAGAATTTAGGAAGTAGGCACTGGATGGCAACTCTAAATACTGGAAATGGTCAAGTGAACACACTCGCATACATCAAATTACACTGTATTCTTTATTCGTTTACTAATATTCTAATGTTAGTGATTTATCTGTATTTCACTGTTGTCTGAAGAAAACCTTGTATCTCCAAAATTTTAACTTTATAGGAGAAGGAAAAAACCTACTTTACTTTTAATGTAAGTCAGTGCAACCAGAATTTTTTCCAAGTCATTTTGGGTAATTTCTTTTGGCCAATTCATCATGAATTTGAACCACATGATATAAAGGATAACAGGCGTTTTCAAACTATGCCAAAAAGTGAAAAACTTTTGGATATATGAGGTTTTCTTGCGACAGCAGCAATATATAATCTATGAATGTAATGTATTTATGTTCTGGTATATCAGTATATCATCACTGTTGGTAAAAAAGCTTATATCTCAGTTATTTGTTGGTTTTAATTAATTACATAATTATCGTTTTTTAAAACAGTAATTACATAAGCTGTTGTTGACACTGTGTGGAAAGTTTATGATGAATGGCAAACAGGATGAAAGGCAAAGAATTTAAGAATTTTTCCTTATCTTAAAAAAGCGGCAGTGACGAGACATATATACACACATAAATATATTAAAATGAATAAATGGTTAAAGTGCCCAAATGCTGTTTTTGTCAGTTTTTGTCTTATAAAAAATTTCATGATAAACAGACTAATAAAAATGGTCCAAAATTACTTAAAAAAAATTTAATGCATTAATTTTGGTTACAATTGGAAGTTTTTTTCTTCTCCTGTAAATTCACCATATTTTGAAAATGTTTCGTTCTTATGCAGGTAGTTAGTAGGTGAGAGATTAACCAGGCAGAATATAAAAATGGAAATGGAATGGAAAATGTGTGAAGTCATTTCAAAGGTGTCCTCTGAAACTTGACATCTAAGGCTTTTTAAATTGGCTTAGTGAACTTAAGAGTATATTCCACATTTAATTCACGCTATCAAACCGAGCAGCTCGCAGCTATCCATTCTGAGAATTTGGCAAAGTCCTCTTTAACTCATTTAAATCTGCCTCTAGAGTACACGTACACATTGGCCAGAGTGAAAGGTGCCACCCTATGGACCTGGAGCTTTCTGTGTTTTCTATCACTGTGTAAAAGATGCATGCAAACTCATTCTGAGCGCAGTTCAGCTCAGTAAGCACTTATTGTTCTTTTGTTTGTTTGAAAGTAAAGATTAAAGCTACTGATGTGCGATGTGGTTGATGTGCTGGCTGATTCCTGTTTGTGTTTTCTTGTTCAAAAATGTAGTTTGTGACACAAACTGAACAAAAATGTAAAAAATGTCCACTTTGTTAGATCCTGTTGTTTGCATATCAACATAAATGCAACAGCAGCACTGATTATCAATCATGTGATGAACTGAGAAGTGCAGGATGAAACATCAGAATTTTTGTGTCAGCCTTAAAGGGGACATTGTCCTAATTCCATTAGAGCATGATTACAATTTAAAAAATGAGATGTGATGAAATTAGGAGTTATTTTTAGTGTCCTTTTTAGTATCTTTATCTTTTTTGTCAAAAGTCTGCAAAAGTTTGGGGACCCTTGGTCAAACCCTTTTTTTCCCCCAAAGTAAAAAGTTTACCCATCTTGTACAGAGAACACACTTCTGCATATTTTAATGCACAATTACTGCTTTAAATGCTGAATTTAATATATTGGGAAAAAATAAAAATAAAATGTGACCTGTACAAAAGTTATGGCACATTTTAGATTTTAATTTTTTCCAATATGTTAAACTCAGCAAAAATGAAAATTGGCACTAAAGTTTGCAGGAATGCTGTATTCAAGTTGCTCCGTGTAGAGGAGGTGTTAACTTATTTTCACTTAGAAAATCATTAAAATATGTAATTTGACCAGAGGTGTTCAAACTTTTGCATTCGACTTTACTGTGTTCTGCTGTTCTTGCGTGGTTTGTATCTGTGTGTGTTATCATGTGAGTATTTTGCACACGTTTGTAAAATAGATACTTTAAAACTCAACAGAAGGAGAATTTGCACACCAGTCTTTTATATTCTTTTTTATTTGCCCCTGTTCCTTTTGTCCCCTTTTGTCCAGCAAGTACAACCCTCCACCCCTGGAGGACAAAGTGACCAAACTGAAAGTCACCATGGTGGCTTGGGATCGCCATGACAACACAGTCATCACTGCGGCCAACAATCTGACGCTGAAGGTGTGGAACTCCTACACGGGCAGCCTCATTCACATCCTCATGGTAAGAGTAATGCTTCATCAACACCAGTGAAACAAAATGTTCTAATGCATCAGTTCATAGGTGATGATCAGTGTTTTCTCCATTGCAATATTTACAGTTTAGTTTTTATTAAACAGAAACATTTCCCTGTTGAGGCTGATTGAATTTATTTATTTTGAAACAAAACTATTCAAAATTATTCAATTATTCATTGAAGATGTGTGTTTGTGGTTTTAGGAAGTAAGTGAAATAGTTCTGATTTGTGTCACAGTTCAGCATAGTTAAACGATTGAGATATAAACAGCGTCATGCAGAGGGTTTGATGTGAAATAGTTAATTGTAGAAAAACTTGCCGACTTTGCTTTTTTGCAGTGGTAGTGATGGGTACCAGGGATTGAGATGTTTATATCCCAGATAAAACCCTTTTATTTACTATCGAAAATTGATAGTGGATTTTAACAAAGTTTTGATTTAGGCAGAAACTTTATCTCAAAGCTATAGTAAAACAATGTCACAGGCATCAGTCAGAATTGTAATATTTTGTCATGTCATGTAATATTTTTTTTGGAGGGAGCTTTTAGGGGCGTTGAACTATTCAGACATCTAGTTCCTGTCATCATCCCTCCGATTTGGTTTCTCTGTAACAAAGCATTTCACAGCAGACAGCACTCTGAATGACTGTGTTAACATCTTAACAAATGAATTATGCAGAATTTTCCAAAAACAAAAATTCCAAAAGTGGATTTGCCCTTTAACATCACCCATATAGAGTTGGGCAAAACTCGTTATTTGCATATATTGAATGACCATTGTTGGTACTGAGAAAGGCATGATTTGAATGCTTATTTCTGGATGAAAAAAGAGGCACTTCTCATTAATACACCAGCACTTGTAGTAAAATTAAAAAAATCATCAGTGCACTGCAGTTTTTGCTTTTTTCCATTATAATGCATCAATCTGAAGGTGGTGAATGAACTAAAACAAATTCGGAAGATTGAACAATCAATGAAGTACATAGTAATTTTTTTGTCCCAAGTAAATTTAAGAAGGCACAAAAGCTAGGTGAATTGTTATTGTCTATTTTTAATTACTGTGTAAATAGGTTCTCCAGTCACATTTGTGTATACAGTGTATTTTTAAAAATAATTTAGAATGGAATCAAAGTAATTAAATTCAGTTGTGTTGAAATTTGAGTTTTTGAGAAATTTTTTAATGCGCTGGTTAATTTCCTGTAGCTGAAACGAACACAAGGCCCCTTAAATGTACTGTGTGCCTGTGTGTCCTCAGGGTCATGAGGATGAGGTGTTTGTGTTGGAGCCCCACCCCTTTGATCCCAGAGTGCTATTCTCTGCTGGGCATGACGGCAATGCTATTGTGTGGGATCTGGCACGAGGAGTCAAAATCCGCTCCTACTTCAACATGGTAAACTGTCTACGTCTGCTGTCTTGCTCTTTCCCACTGCACCACTCATTATACTTTCCTGATTGGAGCTCTGATTTAGCACAGGCACTTTGTTGATCAACAGCAAACTAGTCTACAATTACCTTAGTACTTCTGTAGTTACACTAGTGTTGCTATTCTACCATTGTCTCAGATGGACACGTGTATAATATGCACAAAATCTCATTAAGGACCTCACGGTATATCATATGTAAATATTTAGCTGCATTCAAACACACATTTGTAAACTCACTTACAGAGTTGTTTAAAGTCAGCATGAAATAAAAATCATAACGTATTTTATTTCTGTACCGTGACATTACATCACAGAGGGTCTCTGAACTAGCTTTCTGTCCATAATGAGAGAGCTGAGGAGGTAAAACACAATATTATTGATATTATTATTTTTCTCCTCAATCTGGTAGGCAAAAATCTGTACACTTTAATGGAATATTACAGAAAAATGAAAAATTTTGTGTTGAGTTGTAAGTCTAGAGAATGCTGGATTATTTTGGTGCTATTTCCTAATATTTGTATGTTGCATATAAGGACTTGCACAGTGTATCTGTCTGTCTATCCATCCATCCATCCGTCCATCCATCTGTAAATCTCTTTTATCTCTCATTTCATTTTCTGATGGTTCTTTCTATCTCCCACTGTTTCCTTCCACCACCCCCCCACCTGATTCAATTCTTTCCAGCTTTGTAACAATATTGCCAAAGCAATCAGATGACAGTAATAATAACTGCTCATAAAAATTTCAATATTCCAGCTCAGCAATCCTAGCTGTTCAGTGCTTTCGCTCCTCACTGGTCTCATAGTCATCTTTTTTGTCATATTATGAAAAATAAAATGTAAGCAACAACGAATATGGAAATGAATTTCAATCATATCCAATAAGTGGCTAAAATTGGCGATTTGGATTTTTTCTGTTCTCCAATGTCAGAAGGGCTGGGAATCGGCAGCAGCTTTTTCGATACAACAGATATCACAGATGTCAGGATACAATGACACAATGCATTTTATTAATGTTTACCTTTCTATTTTTTTCATAAACAGCAACCACAATGATAGAGAAATAAATAATGATGGGGTAAATGTTAATGACATTTCACTCACTCACACAACAGCACATAAAATTTCTGCTTGACAACCTATACAAATAATAATAATAACAATAAATAGAGTAAAACCCTAATTATTAAGGCATATTGGTTGTGTACTGGATGTTATAAGTGTCACACTCAGACATGCAGTAGCAGTTTCACTCATGCATACACATCTTGTGTATGTAAAACAGTAGATTTATTCATCACGGTTTAGCCATCACTGTGCCAAAACACGCATTGAAATAAGTTTATCCACAATATATTGCTGTAGCCATATTTTGGGGGGGCCCAAAATTTTATTAAACACTTCTGTGTGAACCAGTTTGCATTGAAGTCCCTGTAGTTGCTGAATAATAAGCCTTATTATGTAATAAGCCTTTTAAGGGGTTAACAACCCCCTTTACTTACATGCTACTACACTCTCATAAAAAAACTGTTGCTGTTATGGCCTCAATGGCCATAATACCCTCAATGGTAAATCTTCAGTACTTTTAGATAACATAATAATGTTAAATTCATCATTTTAAAGTTGCATTGACCCGATATACCCCATCTTAGCTCCATTTGCATTGTGTGTACCTTATTGAACAAAAATGCAGCTGTACAGTAATAATTTTTCTGACAGTGTATTATTATGTTTACTCATTTTGCCTCCAATGTGCCTCATAAACTCCATTTCTCTACATGGTGTAGTTTTTATCTGTGTATATTTCAGATTGAGGGTCAGGGCCACGGTGCATTGTTTGACTGCAAGTGTTCTCCAGATGGTCAGCACTTTGCTTGCACGGACTCTCATGGACACCTGCTCATTTTTGGTTTTGGCTCCAGCAGCAGATACGACAAGGTCTGGAAATATTCACTTCCGTTTTTCTTTGACTTCCTTTGTCTGTTTTTCTTTCTTGCCTTCTCTGTGTCGTGCCTTTCTGTTATTCTAGGGTTGAATATCTGGTTCATTACTATTTTATAGCCTATTTCTCATTTCATCCTTGTTCCAAAGCACCCATTGCCCAGCGGTTGTTTCCTAAAGTTTGGTTAACTCTTATAAGGCTAGAGATTTATGGAGTTCTGACAAATGCAGTTACACAATTACGTAGTTAATTACACAACAAATTAAATTAATGTTTCATTTACATCCTGTACAGACAAGTTTTAGTCTGTACGTTCAACTCTTTTCCGTTTGTTGCAGTGTTTGCATAATTGCATAATTAATTACATAGTTAAGTAATAAATTACATTGACATTCGATTCACGTTCTGCATTGACAGGTTTGAGTCTGCACTTAATGAGTCTCTATTTGTTTAGTGTCAGTGCAAAACATTGCAAAACTGTAAAGGACGGTTTTTCCTTACTTTTCATCAAATTCAGATCATAATAAAATATGTCCTCTTACACCCACAAATGTTGTATTTGAAAGCTGCGAAAGAGGAATAAAATGTTGAATTAATTAAATTACAATTCCATGTTTTTTTTCTAACTGCTGATAGCTTCAATTTCTAAGGGTTACCCAGAGGTCACAGTAGTTGTTGTCACTGAGGGGTGTTTGTTGCTCATGTTTGTATGCTGATCTGTGTTCCAGATAGCGGACCAGATGTTCTTCCACACAGATTACCGGCCGCTGATCCGCGATGCTCATAACTACGTGTTAGATGAGCAGACTCAGCAGGCTCCTCACCTCATGCCCCCGCCCTTCCTGGTGGACGTGGACGGAAACCCTCACCCTCCACGCTTCCAGCGGCTAGTACCCGGCCGAGAAAACTGCAGAGAGGAGCAGCTCATACCACAGATGGGCCTCACATCTTCAGGTAGAAAACACGTAATAATATGCATATAACATTCACACCAAGGAAACATTGATGTGTACATAGGCACCAAGTAAGGGGGAGCATTGGGTCAGGTGACCCCCCAAAAATTAGAAGAAAACCTGCGGTAATGAAACTGCATAGGACAGGCTGCTGTAGTGAATCTGCACTGAATTTAGGTGCAGAGTCGCTACAGCAACCAGAAAACCGCTGTTTTCCACATACGCTTGTTTCACACATGGGTTCTTTCCCCATCAAGCAGGGTTGCCAGATTTGAGGTATTCCCAACAAAACCAGCTGGTTTGAAAGTGCAGTGTGAGTGGATTTTATACAGTCAAAGAGTTCATTTTTGTTTGGACTATTTTCTGAATATACTGCAGTTGCAGAAGAAGGTTTGAAAACAAGTCATCTTATGAATGTATATTGATCATAGTGTTGAATAACTAGCAACCCAAGGACAAACAGTTTTTGGAGTAAGAGAAGGAGTGAAGAGTGCAGCTTGTTCAGTGGTGACACTGACCGTTTTAAACCTGAAGGAGGACAGAAGTGTATGTAATATCAGAAAATCAGATCTCTGTAAGGAGACACTGACAAATATTAGTTACAAGGCAATTTTACAAGGACATTAAGAGGATTTACAAGTGATATGAGGTAATATAAGATTTGTTAGATGTAGAGATAATTTTAATAAATATATTGTGTTGTTTTTTTACGCTGTTTCGGACGTTTAAACATTTAACGGGTTTAGTGAACTATTGGATGTCCATTTTGTTTCACTCTGTGGGGTTTCACTCAGCGACTCTGCTCAATGAAAGTATATCTCTTAAAGAGTGGGTACATCATTTACCATTTACAGAATTCTAACTAGTGATTGAGTGATAGTTTCAAGTCTGATAGACTGGAAACTGGGAAATCAGTTTGCAGCACAGAATATTTAACTAGTATTTAGTTTGGTAACTGTCTTCACCATCCTTCTCCCAAATTAAATGTCTGTCATCAGATTAGGTGTCACAACTACCCCCATCTGGACCTGCGCGAGAGTGCACAAGGCTAGGCCATGTGCATTTGTTTTTCTTTTCCAGCTCCACCCTGGCTCCACCCCACACTCCTCCATTACACATGCCTCTGACTCATCCTAGGACTAATTGAGACTCCTTCATATCCCCCTTTGTTTCCCCTTTTAGTTTGCGGAGTCTCTGCGATGTTAACCTGAGTCCTAGCTGGTTTTTCCTTTGTTTGTTCCTGTGTTTTGACGCCTGCTCTTCTTCCTGGGTTTTGATTATGGAGATGCCTCTGATTGCTTGTTGCAACAATGAGTATTGGACTGTCCCCAATAAAACCGTTTCGCACTTGCAAACGATTTACATGTCTGCTACGTTACGTTAGGTCGTAAATTTAGTTGTTTTTTTTTGCCCTCTGAACAACTCAAGTTGGCATCCACTGATATATATATAAACATATACAGGGTGATTCAGAAAGATTCATTTGATTTCAAAATTATTTATTTCGCTTGTACATCATTACAGAACAATGCAGTAAATTGTAAATGATTTAAGTTAGCATAAAGTTTATTATGTAATTTTACAAGTACTCAAAATGAACCTCCTCCAGCTGTACGGACAACATCAACGCCATAGTCAAATTCATTCCATACTCGATTGAGCATGTCGGGTGTCACTGCACTCATGGCTCTTTCAGTGCGATTTCAGAGATCATCCAGAGTTGTGGAACCAACAACGGACGCTCTGAGCTGTTGGAGGTTCACTGCCCACAAAAATCACGTTACACAGTTACGACAAATTCACTCTTAGTGAAGTGGACGAAAAATGCTTTCTGCTCAAGGGTCTCCATCTCCTCGCAGACTGAAGGGAGCCATCTTCTGGTGACAGTCAGAAACTCTATGACCCCCTCTTTCAATTGGTATGTGATTGGTTCCTAGGCGCCTCACAGTTGTAAAAACTATGACGCTTTGAAATTGGATGAATCTTTTAGAATCACCCTGTATATCAAACTCAAAGTTTCTTCATTACCCCAAATGTAGTCAATCAGGCAAGACATGTCTGATATCTGAAGTTCACTTTGCATTTGTACTGAAACCATGAGGCTAATATGTAGTATATGAAGTATAATTTAAATAATTATGTAAGAAAAAAAGAAGTAATAAACCTTCAGTGTGCAAACTGCATGTCTAAAAGCAGCAACTTTTAAGCCTGAATTTTGTCCATAGTTTTATTCTTGTTTCTAGATAGGAGCATGTCATTCCATGTCTGGAACCTGTTGAAGCCCATTCCCAATAGGAAAAAGTTTGCTTGATTTTCCTTCTTCTCTGTTTCTGGCAGCAGAATGTCAGCAGAATTTTGACTTGTAATAATGATGTATTTTCTCAAAATATTGTTTCAGTGACTTGAAATAATTTATTTTCTTGAAATATTGACTTAGCAATTCGAAATAATGACTTACTTTCTCAAAATATTAACTTAGTATTTCAAAATAATGGCTTACTATGTTAAATAGTGACCTGCTCACTTGGAATAATAACTTTCTTGAAATATCAATAGATCGCTGCTGTCGGAAGAAAACCTCAGGTTTTCAGGTTTTGACATAATTTCAAAATGTCTGTTGTCCTTTAATTTAATAATTCCTTATTTTGTTATGCTAATTCAATTCTTTGAGAAAATAAGTCATTATTTTGTTGGTGTTAAGTCAATATGTAGAGAAGTCATTATTTTAAAATAGATCCTTAGAGTTAATTTTGACATACTACACGTTCAGTTGTGTACATTTGAATTTTCGTCAAGCGATCGCTTTAAACATGAAAATAAAAATTAAATAAAACTCTTTTGTTTCAGTGCCACAACATCGCTGAGAGATAACTGAATTTAGATAACTCTTTTTTTCTTCACTCTATCTCTCTCTCTCTCTCTCTCTCTCTCTCTCTCTCAGGACTCAATCAGGTGTTGAGTCAGCAGGCGGCGGAAGGTTCTAGTCCCCTGGACAGTATGATCCAGAGGTTGCAGCAGGAACAGGACCAGAGACTGGGCTCGGACTCCAGAGTCACCCGAGGTAGCCATGCTGGCGGTGATGAAGATGATTTATGTGGAATATGTATTGATGTGCCCACATGAGAATTGTGGGTGAAAACTGATGTTTGGTATTGTTCATGTACAGCTGTATGCGTAAGTGTGCACCCTCAGTCAGTGATGTGTTTTGCTGATTGTCTACATGAAAATAAGTTAATATGTCCTCTACAGAGAACACAGAAGAGACCACAATATGCAAAACAGCCAAATAAATAGCAATTGTGTACTAAAATTTTGTTTATTGTCGAGGATATGTTCATTTATTTTCATTTAGAAAATCAATAGAACATGTAATTTGACTGATGTTCAAACATTTGCATACAACTCTACATATTTATTTCCACTGATACCGATGCCAGTACATAAACATTTATAAAATATTGAGATTTGGACTACATCTACCTGGATTTTGTCGATTACAAAAAAATGTAACTTTTATGTCTATAGTGTGATAAATGCAATAAAATGAATGAAGTGCTGATGTTTTAGCACAGTATTTTAATGTTTTGCTCCCCTAGAGTACAGTAAATGTGTCAACAAAATTCTGTTAGAAGTATCAGCCAAATCTGAGCATCTGTTTGATGCCACTACATTTTTTAAGCAATTATGTCAGTGCATTTTTAAGCAGTTATCTGCTAAAATATGATTTTGACATCTCGATCCATCCCTGGTAATGTGTTTATTAATATTCTAAATGATGTTGAGGATGATGATTTGATAGATCTAAATGTGCTTGTTTATATCTAGGATCTGTAAGCTCCCCTACGGAAGTCTCCTCTCCCCCTAACGTGGGTCTAAGGCGCAGTGGTCAGATTGAGGGAGTCCGGCAGATGCACAGTAACGCTCCCCGTAGTGAGATGGCCACAGAGACGGACTTGGTGGCCTGGAGCAGACGGGTACTTGTGCCTGAACTGTCACCAGGAACAGCCAGGTAACGTACAACATTCACATACATGGGCATTCAGAAACAAGACAGACCCAAAAAGACTTTTGTGATTTTACAGAACAACGGTTATTAGCAGAACTCTTATGTGGGGCTGGTCAGCGAAGTGACACAAAATGAGCCAACAGACACCTTTTCCTCCTGTAGCCTCTGCCTCAGCTAACTATATCTTACCTTTCTTGCCAGTGAAACATTCATTTAGTTGGGTCGCATGCATGTCTCTGTTGGTCAGAGTTAAATGGATCAGCATATGGAATTGTGGATTTCTGTGTGCTACTGTGTTTTCTGTCGCTATATAAAAGAAGCTCCATGTCGCCTTTATTGTTGGATGCACTGAGTGAGCATGTGCACACATTCACACTGGAATTTGGGTCACTGTGAGCTTATTATTGGTTTATTTAATAAATATAATGCGACTTTGTTTTTTGTGACTTTTGTGACTTTTTTGGGCTTTGTTAGATCATGATCTGTATATTTTAAGCATTGAGAAGCGAGGGAGAACGCTAAACATCTGCAGTGCTGTGGCTCACACTCTGAAGATCAGTTGCAGGTGTATTTCACTCTTTAGGTTAATGGATTGTGGTTTGAGGAAAAGAGATCTCAGAGAACTTAGGTTGGAGTGGCAGCTTCTGCTTTGCATTGGAAAAAATGAGTTTGAGGCATCATTTTTCCCAAACTTAAGATTAACTACATTTTTGTCATCGTGTTGCTCTTTCAGGAGACTGCTGTTTTTTTAAATAGATGGCTTTTAATTTACTCATCATCATTTCTGCATCATGGCCAAGCAGTTCAAGCAACACTAGCAGGATCTGTTTGCTGATCGTTGGAAGTTGAGGCATATACAAGCTTCAGACCGTAGAAAAAAGAAATATTGGCACAACACCATGCAAAACCAGAAAGTCTGGCTTTGCAAATATGGCCAGTAACGAATCTGAAGGTGCTTCAGAGCACCATTGTCAGACCTAATTGAAAATAAATGTTGCCTTTTTTAAGTGGTTTGTCGAGTCTACTTTTATTCAAGTAATGCAAATACATGAAATTGGAAGTGCACATTGTATGGCACATAATTATTTTAATTATATAATAATTTATTATAATTATTATCCACCAAATGATCTCAAATATTCCCATGTAATGATTCTAGCCACACAAATTTAAAGGGCCTGGATTGTGGAAAACTTTCCCTTGCTTTTTTGCAATAAAAGAATTAGATGTAGTAAGTAAACACTGATATAGTTTCATAACATAACATTTACTCCCCAACCCCTATGATACATATATTCAAACTAAGCTGCAAAACAGCCTATTCTAGATTCAGTTGGGCCTCTTTTATCAATCTTCCTAAATTTATTCTTAAATTTGTTCTTGAGAAAAGTCTTAGGAAAAAGTCAGAAAAGTCAGATTCATGACATGTTCTTAAACTGCAGAATTGTTTTGAGTGAATATAGACTCTGTTCTTACCTAAAAGTGAATATAAGTGGTTTTTAAGAAGAAAATTTTTCTAACAACGGTTGGTGAATAAAGCCTATTGTTTTTGTGATGTCATTAAAACTAAAGCATTTACATATATTCTCCTGTACAACCTACATTTAGCGCCACTTCTTCATGCTGAAGTTATAAGGAGTGTTTCAGCCTGGACTGTTGTTAAATAAGCCTCAATACAGGACAGTCAATCAGAACAGAGATCATCAGTCCTAAATGCAGAGTAACAAAAGGTTTGAAAATGGTCATGTAAAATTGAATTATGACTGTTTTTGGTGCCGAAAAACACAGATGTTATTAGTGGACAGCTTGAAACCTCATACTCTGCACATTTTTATGTTGCTCTTACACACCTGCCTAAGCTCATAATTAGCTTTGTAATTAGTTTATTCCTTCAGTCAGGTGTGGTAGTTTAGGGTAACTTCTGGAGCAAGGTTTCCTTAGGCCAGGATTGAAAACCTGCAGCTCTGTCCGCCTTATATTTCACATGACCACTGTATTTAGAGACTATGGTTTTCGAAATATCCAGTTGGGAACTGAAGTGCTGTTGATTACTGTTTTTAGTGAAGTCAACATAAGCTTGCATACTTGTTAAGTTATTGTTCTGGGACAATGTGCTGTTTGTGGCTGAATGTGGCTTCATAACTTCTCTTTGAAAAAGCCTAGTTGTCGTCATTGAAAGCCATGGCCATAAAATGCACCTAGATGAAGGACTGCCAGTTGAACATCACTGTTTGCAACAGTCAAGCATTATTGATTTCTGTTATGCGCAGTTACAGAGGAGTGGGTGATTTGGCAAAAACATAACATCACTATTCATAAAGCACAGGATCTTTTTTTGACATCTGATAGAAAAAAACAGTAGTGTCACATGTAAAAACTACTGTCAAAAACTCACACACTCACTCATCATCTACGCCACTTATCCTTAGATGCTATAGCCTATCCCAGCGCTTGCTGGGCGGAAGGCTGGAAACGCTCTTGGCGGGTTGCCAGTCATACATAAATGCATAGTCACACACACGCTCACACCTAGGGGCAATTTAGCATCTCCAAATAGCCTGACTGAATGTTGCACAATGGGAGGAAACCCACATAGACATGGGGAGAACATGCAAACTCCACACAGAAAGGACCCTCGTCACTGGCCCTGCTTGCTGTGAGGCGACAGCACTACCACTTTCAAAACGGAATATAATAACATTTCACACAATGCACTGCACTAAATCCAGTTAAACAGGACTATTTATACTCTCTTTGTAATGAGACATGTATTTTCAGTGTTTTGTCAGTACTGACGTTATACATGATATTATTACATTCTCAAAAATAAAGATATGAAACTGTCGCTGGGGCAGTACCCCTCTTGTCACTGGGGTACATCTCAGTACCTTTAGTCTACGTCTAAGTTGTATTGACTCCACACACCCCGTCTCGTCTCCAGGCTTTTTATTTTACTTTTCTATTTTAAAACATTAGATTATGAAAAGGTACAAATATGTACTTTTCACCTGGGAAAAGTTTATTTAAGGTACACAGTTGGACCTTAAAACCACTGTTGTACCTTTGACGGTACATTTATTTACAGAACCTTTATTTCTAACAGTGCAGAAAAGCATGTTGTGACATAGTGTGACATAATTTCTCATACTATATTGCCCAGCGCTATATTAGAGCATCTCATCTTTGATACATGGTTTTATACACATTTCCCAAACAGTAAATGTGTCTTTTTCTGTCTTTGATGAGGTGCAGTTTTGATTTTTATGTTGCAGATTACTAAATAATTACGTGTTTATGTGTGCAGTAAACAAGAGATCTGGAGGGCAGCTAGAGGAGAGGAGGAGATGAACATCTACAGATCAGAGCGGAGGAGACGCAGCATACACAGCCAGTACCACAGAGAGAACCGGGTATATATACACACACACGCACACACACACTAGCTATAATTTAACTTCTAAATTGAGCTCAGAGTGTGTATAAAGGTGTATATCTTTCAAAGCAGCATGCAACAGAGAACGCAGTGGAGGAGGGGCGACGTTACCAAGGCAACCAGCACAACTACCACACGCGACTGGCTGTGGAAGAGACGAGCAGACAGAGCGAACCCAACGAGGAGGAGCCTAGCGCCTCAGAGGTACACACGCATACACACACACACACACACACACACACACACACACACATACACACTCTCATTTTTCCTCAACCGGTTTAACGTCTGTGTTCTCTGCAATCTGTCACTCAGAGTTAAATCTCTTCATCTGTAGAGTCATGATGCTCCATTTAGATCATGAAGGGCTTTAATTAATTAATTTAGTTAATTTCATGTATTAGGGTCAGTCAGATGACTAATTTTAATACTTGAGTATTTGTTATATTGGTATTTGTTTCTCTATTTAGTATTCAGAAGCTTCATTTTCATCTAAGTCTCAACAGTTAAGGTCCTGTAAATTTCATCAGCAAAGACCTTTAGATCAAATAGTCGTGTTTTATATTACACGTTTTGCAATAGGTTTATACTACCACCAGCCACATTACATGCTTTGTTGATTTTTTAAGGTGAAACTGAGATAACACATCTTCTACAAACAAAACACTTAAATATAACATTTACAGTGCACAAATTCTGTTTATTTATGTGCCAGAACTTTTGCACCAGCTGTACATTTTTTGTTTAATTTTTTTCTATTATGTTAAATTCAGCAGTAATTGTGCATTAAAATGAGCAGATGTGTGTTCTCTGTACACTGTAAAAAAAATGTTTTAACTTAAAAGTTAGTGTTTGGGCTGACGTACATTTTTGAGTAAATTTCTAACAGTAAGTTAAAAGCATAAGAATCTATTTTTTATGCCTTATCAACATACTATTTTGAAGCTCACAAAACTCAAAATGTTAAGGTAGCCTGGACAACTTTTTAAAATTAAAACCACCATATTTTTTACAATGTTAACTGAGGAAAGTATGTGTTAACTGACTTTCACATAGAAAATCAACAATACATGTCATTTCTACAGGGGTACCCAAACATTTGCATATGACTGTATATGGAAAATGTTAGAAATACATAAGTTATAGCGGCTTTTGTTGAATGCATCATAAATTTATGCCACTGCATCAAATTACATCACCATCCACATAGCTACTGAGGCTAAAAGAGCAGAGATGCCTGAGAAGCCACATATGTGGGAGCAAGGCATGTGCGTATCCGTAAGGCAAGGCAAGACAAGTTTATTTATATAGCACCTTTCAAACACTGCTGTCATTCAAAGTGCTTTACAAATGAGAAAATACAGTGAGAAAATAGGTTTTTTTAAGTAAACAAGAATCTAAATTAAAAATATGATTAAAACACGATTAAAACAATAGATTTAAAAGAGAAAATTATTTAATTAAAATAAAATTAGAAATTAATTTAGGATAGCTAGAATATTTCATTAAAATGTAAAAGTTAGATTAGTATTAAAAAAGTGTCGTTACAGAGGAAAAGTGGATAGAAAAGCTAACAGTGTTTAAACTGGAAGGTTTTGAGCCTGGATTTAACAGTGTCCAGTGTCTGGGCTCTTCTAATGCTCTCTGTCTGCTGGTTCCTTTTAAGCACAGCATAGTAGCTACACACTGCTTCTCCATGTTTTAGTCTTTACCTTCAGCAGGACTAACTGACTATTTCCTAGTGATCTAAGAGTTCTGCTCGGCTCATATTGCTGCAGCATGTCAGATAAATATGCTGTTCCTGCACCACTGAGTTCTGTAACAGACTGGTAGTCTGACTGGGAGGATTTAAGGGATGGGGTGATGTGTTCCCTTCTTTTACTCCTATTGAGACTCTGGCAGCTGCATTTTGAATCATCTGAAGATGTTGGATTGTGTTTTTTGGGAGTCTAGTTATGAGACCATTACAGTAATCAATCCTGCTAGAAATAAAGGCGTGGATGAGTTTCTCCAGGTCTGCTTTAGTCATAAAATCTCTCGTTCTGATCTTGTTGATGTTCTTAAGGTGATAAAAAAGCTGATTTAATAACTGCTTTAACATAACTGCTAAAACTTAGATCAGAATCTATTAGTACACCAACCAATGCTGGTCGGGCCAGCCCTTAAATGCTTTTACTTTTATTAATCATTTAAAGTGTTCCAACTGTAAAGTAAAGCCCCAGAATGAATGTTACTCAGGTTCTCTGTAATTACTGATATTAGTAATTATTTTAACATCCGAGTTTCCAATCGCTTGCGAATCTCATTCATTTTTACTGAGCAAATACTGTAAATATTACTGTGTAGAAATCTACTTTCAGCTAATGAGTCATTCAAGTCATCTGTAAATAGAACCTTACATTTTTCTTAATTGACACAGGACTCCTTCTAGTTATAAATAACAAACTTCAAGAGTTCTTAAATTGATAATATGATACGGTATCACATGGCTACATTTACCAAGATATTAATCCCTTCTGAGTGGGGGCATCAGCGTTTCTAATAAAAACTGGTGTCACTGATAATTGCCAAGGTTCACACTACTCAGTAATTTTAATCCTGTGGAGAGGGTTTGTGTGCTGAGTCACGGCTCCATCTGCTGAGTCAGTTTTGCTTGTGTAGAGTTAGTGCTGCATGTGGAATATTAGTAAATATAATAACGTTCATTCATATCCCCTGTCAGGGCGAGGCAGACGCACGGCCACCCAGCAGAGAGTCATCAGATGAGGAGAGAGAGGAAAAGGAACCCTGGCCTGATGATCACAGCAGCTCCAGGTAACAAACACCCACAAACGGAAACAGAAACTAGCAGTGAAAAAAATGACTTGTTAACTGTAATACATGAAAACTATGTCACAAATGTAATGTACACTGCAAAATGAACTAAAACTAAACAGTATTAGAGAGAAGAAAACTATGTTGAAGTATATTAAACCATGTAAAATAAGGTAAATGTATGTTCAGCATGAAGCATTAGGGATCGTCTACAAGTGAATCCCTTCTATGTCAGAATTAAAAAGGCTTATATCCTACATTTCTCTTGTATTTAATTTTCATCTGTGAGGTCCACTTATGATGTTTACTCAGGTTTATGTAATTTATGGTTTACATGACAATTTTCTGTCTTTTATTAATCCCTTAGAATTAAACAGGCTGTTTTTGTTACTGTGACTTTAAAACTGATATGTGTACTCGAGCTCTGTTCTGATTGCATTTTGTCATATAATAAATATGACAAACATTGCTCATAATGTTGAATGTCAGCACAGTGCTCTCTGGCAGCACTAAACTCTCAGTGCGAAGTGCTCCGCAACTTTCAAGGAAGATCACAGCTCTCAGAGTGGGCGTGGCTGTGTGTTCAGAAGACCTGTCACTCCAAATCGGTTGCCCAATAGAGGGTGCAGGGCAATGCCCTCTTCTAAAACCCGCCCGCTGTGAAAAACGCCACAAGTCAGAAGCAAAAGAAAGCTTTCAGAAGCAAAAATATATCAGTAAAATCAGCAAATAGAAGCAATAACTGGCAAAATGAATACGTTTATATCAGAATGAAGGGAAATTAGTAGTAATCTTTTTTAAATAATTAAGTTTTATGTAACTCTCATTATTTGTATTTGCAGCTTATTTTGGACATTTTAATACTTAATATTTTGCTTGTGGATTTTAGTATTATATTGAAAACATTTGGCACAAAATCAACCCCATAAAGATTTGCTACCTAACTACTGCTGCGCTTAATTTAGCATAGCTAAAATGACAAAACCCCTTGTAGGGAATGAGTTCAGTTTTTTTTGAGTGCACCCCAATTATTGACAAAATATTCACCATAATACCAGAAACCAAATTAAACTAAATTAAAAACTAAAACAAAAGTATTAAGGCGCTCTTGAAACTAACTGAAACTAAACGAGAGTCTTTTTGTTGTGTTATACTATTTAGATGTAATTATTTAATATTTTATTTGGCTTAATTATGTAGCAAGTTATAGAGTTGCAGTTACATTTGATTTACATTCTGTAAGGATAAGCAATGATAAAACTTGGCAAAAATGTAAAGGATATTTTTTTAACAGAAAACAAGGCCAGATGCACAGCAACAACCTTTCATCAAATTCAAATCATAATAAAATCTCTTCCTCTGCTTACAAACACAAATGTGCTGTTGATTAAAAGTTTAGAATCTGCACTTTCATTGAGTTATGACATGGCGATATATGACATAGCTCGATCTCAAATTACGCGACGCTAAAGTTCTACCAGTGGGTTTACAGGTTAGCGTTATATAATTTGTTCTGTTCGGTTCATAGGTTTCCCTTGAGCCAGTTTTGTGTGTGTGTGCTTGTGTACACAAATGCTAAAACATCTCTCTCTCTTTGTGTGTGTGTGTGTGTTTATAGCGAGTACTCCAGTGATTACTCAGACTGGACGGCGGATGCAGGCATAAATCTAGAACCACCCAAGAAGAACAACGTGAAAAAGAAAAAGAAGAATGCTAGCAGTTCCGAGGAAGACGGAGACAAGAAGAAAGACAAAGATGCCAAGAAAGAGAGGAGGAAGGAAAAACAAGACAAAGATGGAGCACTACCAAAGAAGAAGAAGCCAAAGGAGAAGAGGAAGGTGAAGAGTGTTTATGTGTCTTCCAGCTAAGTGCTGAGTTCTGTGTTCTGCAGGGCTGGTGATGCATGTGAACTTGCAGTAATTCTCTGATGTGTATATGATGAGCGTTCTGTTTGGGTTTGTTGTTTGCAGAGGTTACCTGAGTTCCAGGAGCAGGGTCTGACTCTAGAGGAGTGGCTGCCCTCAGCCTGGATCACAGATACTGTACCACGGAGAAGCCCCTTCACCCCTCAGATGGGCGATGAGGTAACACCACCACATATATTTATTCTATTATTCCTACCAATGCATGTTCACACACAGTGGTACTGAACCTTTAGGTGGGTTTTTTTGTAGTTTTGCTGCTCTGTTTCAGTGTAAATACTAGGACTGGCATATTTAACATCATTCATATAATAATGCATTGATGCAATAAAGCATGAACCAGTTTTTTAAACATAATTAACTAGGGTTGTCACAATATCAGAATTTTGATTTTGATACTGATATTGTTCCGATACCGAAACAATACCATCGAACAAAATGGAAGAAACACTCATGATTATCTGAATACCAAATGTTTACTGGTTTGATCACAAAAATATTCAGATTTTACAGGTTAATTAACATGTCATTTTCTTTTTTACTCTTATTTATTGTCTTGTTTTTTTAACAATACAAAATGCAGTGTAAACGTGGAGCTAGCTCATATAAATAAAGAAATGAAAGTTGAATGTGGAACTCCATTAACACATTTTCCTTGTTTGACCCTTCAAACAGTCTATAGTAGTCCAGACTGAAGCCCAGCTGCTCACGCACTCTTAGGTCGTTTGTAAAACTTTCGGTGCTCCTGGTCAAATGAAATGTTTTGCTGATTTTTTTAAATGATTGTAAATTACACATCCTCCACAGACTTCTACACATTAACCCTACAATTACAATTAATTTGGCCCGTGCAAGTTTTGGCACATCTTATGTTTTATTATTTTCCAGTATGTTAAACTCAGCACTTAACTAGAAATTGCTAACTAGAAAGAGATTTGTAGAAGTTTTTAAGTTTGTTCCCTGTAGAGGATGTTAACATATTTTCACTTAGAAAATCAACAAAATATGGTTATCTTACTGGGCCGTTCAAATTTTTGCATACAACTTAGTGTTGCTGTGAGAGATTCCTTGACTGTAGCCTTCTTTTTCAAATTGTAGCCCCGTAGTCCTCTCATTCTCATACCTGTGAGTTCACACAGTGAAAATAACATTATTAAAAATAATTAATATGAGGCTCCCGAGTGGCGCAACCGTCTAAGCGTTGGCCCTATCATCAGGAGATCGCGAGTTCGATCCCTGGTGATGCTACAGCCATCCGTAGCCGGGAGTCCGACAGAGCCAATTGGTCTCGCTCTCTCTGGGTGGGTAGGATGGCTGCCCTTCTCCCCCCATCACTCAGCGCGATGCTAGTCGGCGCAGGCGTCTGTTAGCTGACGTAACAGATCTGGCGGTTGGCGCTTTCCTCCGAGCGCGTTCGGCTGTCCAGACAGCTCGAAAAGAAGCGGTGGTTGGCTTCACAGGTCTCGGAGGAAGTCTGTGTTAGCCTTCACCCTCCTAGCGTTGATAGTATCATGTGATTGAGGGAGTCCTAACTAGCGGGTGGAATTGGAGACAACTAAATTGGGGAGAAAATCGGGTAAAAATAAAAAAGATTATAAAAAATAATAATAATAATTAATACATTCTGATGAAGCTTATTTTGTCCATTAGAAAAAAACGCTGCTTTTTAAATGGAAAAAAAATCTTCAGGGTCAAATTTGAGCAAATAAGAGAAACACAGTTAATCACACTGGAGTGTTTTAGTTGTTTGACACCATAGTAAAACGTAATTACATAATTAGATACATTTACATTTGATTTGCAGCCTAAATCAATAAATTTCTGACTTTTTGGATTTGTTTCAATGTCATGATAAAAAGACAGCAAAAATGTAATGAATGGTTTGCACTTTTCATCATTTTCAAAGTATAATAAAAAAGATCTCTTCTTACTTACAAACACGAACGAGGTATTGAACCCACATGTTCAACAGAATTTCCTCTGCTATTTTTTAATGAGCTACCAAAAATAATGAGTATCTAATGAATAATGAAGTACACCAGACCTTTGTTAGTAAAATAAATGTAAGTAGAATCTGTAACAGTTGTAATACATGTGTATCTGTGCAGGTATATTATTTTCGGCAAGGCCATGAGGCGTATGTGGAGATGGCCAAAAAAAACAAGATCTTCAGCATCAACCCTAAGAAGCAGCCCTGGCACAAGATGGAGCTGCGGGTATGACTGTCCTGCTCACACATTCTGGATATTTGTGTCCAGTAGTTTTGAAGATAAATAAATAATAACTTTATTTGTGTAGCACCTTTAATATGTTTAAGTACAGCTCAAAGTGCTTCATAGAGAAAAAAAACAAGCATAGCAGAAAAGCTGTGTTGACTGACTGTTGATTGGTCACATACTTTCACATGGAAGTTTCAAGTTTCAGAAACGTTGTCAACCCAGAAATTGGTTTGTTAACTTTTACGTGGCCTTGTGTATGTGTGTGTGGTTTTATGTGTAGGAGCAGGAACTGCTGAAGATTGTAGGCATTAAGTATGAGGTGGGCTTGCCTACTCTGTGCTGTCTGAAGCTGGCCTTTCTGGACCCAGACACTGGCAAACTGACTGGAGGCTCTTTTTCTATGAAGTGAGTGGAGCTAGTGTTGTATGACTCACTTGGACTCACTTATGCAGAATCCATTTCACTGTTTAGAGCTTTTGGAAGTCTCTGTGTGGCCTTGTTTTGGTTCATTGCCTAATCCTTTCTTGTTACCATAGATACCATGACATGCCAGACGTCATTGACTTCCTGGTACTCCGTCAGCAGTTTGACAATGCAAGACAGCGTCAGTGGATGATAGGTAAGTGATATGTTTTCTTTTGAAGACCAGTGGCCGGATAGAACCTCTCAGTAATTGTGTCCTAATAGGTTTATTAGCAACAATGACAGCCATCATCAAAGGTAAAGAAATGTATTGCCTAATTATCAGCTATTCGAAATTAAATTTCCATTTAATTGACAAATTCAAATAATTAATGTATTAGTTAGCACATGCCTTTAAACAACATCCCAACAGTTTTACTGTGGATAACTTTACAAAATGCTCTGTTCTCATACAGACCTTGATTCTCAAAAAGGTAGATTATTAAAAATGCTGATGGCAAGTAGGGAGGAAAACTAAATCAGGCTAAATGCAGACCAAAATCAGTTAAAGTTAGCACACTTGCTGGAGAAACCCCAACTTGAAATTTGAACCCAAGCTTGACAGATATTTGAGAAGGGACATGAATGAAGAAGAGACGTGATATCCCAGCGTGAAGGATTATGGTTCGATCTAAAATGCACCATTATAGAGTTGAGTCAGAATTGTTCACGACAGTAGCGATAGAAACCAGCTGGAAGCGTTTAAAAGATTTTTTTGTATTTAATATTTTTCCTTGATGTCCACTTACAATGTTTTTGTGGTTTTATATAGTGTAAACCATCATAATTTATTTATACACAACCATTTTGCAGCCTCTCTTAATCTCTTAGAATTGAACAGGCTGTTTCTGTGACTATGGCATTAAGACTGATATATGTAAATGAGCTCTGTTCTGATGGGCTGCCCTGTATTGTGCCTCAGTCAAAAAGCAGTGTGGGTTGAAACACTCCTTGTAAATTCAGCATGGCCTGAAATGTGCCTTTTTCCCTGCTGAAGCACTTATTATCATTCACTGAGACTGTGCGGGATTTAACTGTTCCAGGCTTAGTAAGTGGATTTGTGCAAATGTGCTGGTGTTCATGACATCACAGAGACAGTGAATTCAAAAACAAGCTGTTTTTGCTGTTTAGTTTCCATAATGGACTGTATGGACTAGGGGAACAGTACATTTTGAAACTTTTACATCAAACTCTGTGAGGAAATCCTATTTTCCGTGGTATGGGCCCTATTGCCTCTTAAAGCCACCTCACAGAGATATAACACAAAATACATATCCTGGTGCCTGAGATGTGGTTTGATAGTTTTGAGGTAAGGTATTGTTTAAAACTTGTTAATCCATGCATGGCAGAGAGGTGCATGCTTGCTATTCTAAGGCAAAATAGTACCCTAGAAAACTTCTGTTTTTCTGATTTACCACCATTTCATCGTTATTCACATTACATATAAAAACAGACATAACACGTAGATTTGCTGGTCATTTTGGAAATTAAATTAAATGGCCATATTTGCATTATGGCTATTAGACATTGCGGCCCCTAGTTCCTGTCACCACCACTGTAAATAAATCTGAGCTAGCAATTTTTTTCTATAATGAACCATTTCACATCAGACTATTCTAAATGATTTTGTTTGCGTTTCAGCATTTGAACTATGGAGAAATTTTGAAAATTTGGTGAAATTGCCCTTTATCAAAACAGTAGCATGTGTCAACTTGTGTCATGGCACAAGCACACTTTCACTTTAAACTCCTGCCTTGATGCGTGTGATTACAGGAATGACAGTAAAGGCAACTCCGACACTGTTTATCACTCGTGAAATCACCACTACTCATTTACAGATTAAGCCCTGGGTGTTGTGGCCAGTCACAAAACACTCCAAATGCTCTCTCCAACAAAACCTTATGACGTTAAAGACAAAAAGACAATTAGCAGCTAAATGTTACTGTAACTGAGCACAAAGTGGATTCCTTTCCTCTACAAATATACTTGAAGAGAAAATAAAAGTAGAGGAATTATTAAAAAAACATTCTAAAACAATTATACATGTTTACATGTAACTAAGAAAATGTAACTATTTAATGCCCACATCTGCTGCATTGCTGAGTGCCTGTTCTTGTTTTGTTTTAGGTGATCGTTTCCGCTCTGTGATTGATGATGCTTGGTGGTTCGGTACGATCGAGAGCCAAGAGCCATACCAGGCAGAATATCCTGACAGTCTCTTCCAATGCTACAATGTCTGGTCAGTTCTCAGTGGTGCTAATTAAATATTTCATGATAAAGCCAATCAGTGTTTTAACCTTTGCCATAGCCCAGAGTCCTGATCCTAACCAGAATATAAGATGAGCAGATAGAAATTAACCCAGTTGACCCAAGCATCTTGGCGACTCGTTCTGAGAATTCAGTGTTTCTTTGTGACACTTCTTTGAGTGGAAGTGATGTATTTTTCCGTGCAAAACTATATACTGTCACATAAATATGTATGGTATGACCTGCTGCCTGGTTCAGTTTTAAGCTGACATCTTTGTTAGCGCTGTAAAAGATGGCGATTCAGACCCTTTTCTGAGCCTTTTGGCTCTGGTAGGTTGCACTACAGCCAACAAGCTGATTTTATACTATCTGCAGGAGAATAACAATGAACTGAAGTGTTTTATGACTGACAAATGACACAAAGGGGTTAAAAACATGTCTTAAATGAAGATATGAGCTAGATTTAAACGATTGACCGCTGAAATGACCAAAATGCACTTGTTTAAGACACAGCTATTTCTTCTGACTGTATTTCAGTAAGGTTAAAGCGGGCTTAATGACTGCCAAGCACTTCTCTGTGAACTTGAAATCATCAGGGTACCTGGGCTACGAGTCTTTCTTCTTCCTCGCTCGGCTTCATGTTAAAATAATTCTCAGTACTAATCTGATAAGTACCTATTAGAATAATTGCTAGTGTAACTGCAACTAGGCGTTCTTTCTGACAAAGTGAAAGTAAATACAGACAAGACAACTTTATTAGTAATGTGTAGTAGCTAGCTAACTTTATGCTGCTGATTCTACTGTTGTCTCCTTCACTCACTCTCGCACCTCCCCACCCACCCCCTCCGCTGACCCGAGCTGCATTTATGTAGCCTAACAGATGAATGAAAATGCTTAGCATGTTTATAACCTGTAACCTTTGTAACTTGTGTCTGGGAGACACTGAAATTGGGTGATGTTTAAATCTGCCACCAGAGGAGGTACGGCACATGAATGTCAAGATTGGTTATAGTAAAATGTATCAGCTTGTAGAACAAGTGCTTTCTGTGTGCTAGCATGTTTTTCTCACTATATAAGATACACAAGAATTGTTGAATGTGATTTTTTCTGAACAAATGCAAGTTAATTCAGAGCTTAATTTCAGATCAGTAAGCTCTTATTATTGTTTTGTTTGATCAGAGTAACAATATAATAAGGCTGGTGTGCGACTGAAGTTTGGACCTAAATTACATATTTTGTTGATTTTCTAATTGAAAATAAGTCAACAAAACCCTCTACAGAGAACACAATTCTGCACATTTTTATGCAAAGTTACTGTTTATTTGCAGAATTTAACATGGTGGGGAAATATATAAAATGTTCTATTTTTTTATTTTTTCCGATATGTTAAACTCAGTAAATAAACAGAAACTGCGCAGTAAAATGTGTAGAAAAATGCCGTTAAAGCTTGCTCCTTGTAGAGGATGTGTTAACTTATTTTTATATAAGTTTACCGAATATGTAATTTGATTATGAGTGTTCAAACATTTGCATACAACTGTATATAATTCTATTCATGCACTTCCGTATTCAAAAAGATCACACGAGACAGTAAAGTGCAACACAAACAGCAGCACTGAGAAAATCACGATTAACAGAAAACAGTGGATTAAATGGCAGAAATAGCCACTTTTTTATGTTGACCTTAAAGGGTTAATAGAGATGCCAAATACATTTTATGAAAATGCTGTTTAAATGATGCTGAATCATGCTTACAGTAAACTCTATTCTGGTTAATTAGACGGCACAGCTCAGAATGTGTGGTTTAGTTACAGCAAGTTACATCACCTTGAAAGTGGGTGTGTGGTTGTGTGTGTGTGTATGTGTGTTTTGCAGTTGGGATAATGGAGACACAGAAAAGATGAGCCCCTGGGACATGGAGGAGATCCCCAATGAAGGTGCCGCACACACAAATACACTATTTTCACATTAAGTATGGTACTGTGCAAAAGTCAGAGACCAGCCTTCACATTTTAAGACAAAACAGCCATTAAGTACAAGTGAGTCATTTTTCAAAAGATATTTCTGAGGAGATTAGATATAGAGTAATTCACTGGAATAAAGAAGGGGGACGTCAAAGGAAAATGAGGCAAAATTAAGTACAAAGTGAAAAGAAGTTTTCAAAACTGGAGTTAGAAAATTATTAAAAGATACAGAGAAAGCTGGACTCCTAACAGTAATGCAAACCCTGGTAAACCATCAGAACTGTCCCCATCAGATAAACAGCACATAAAGCTTTCATCATTGACAATGACATTGACAACAATCCACAGGTGTTTCTGTCCATCCTTCCTGTGAAAAGACAACTCAGCATTATGGATCTGAAAGGATGTGTAGCTGTCAAGAAGCCACACTGAGAAAAGGGAAAAAGACAAAAAAGAATAAGATGTGCAAGTCAAACAAAGAAGCTTCTGCTGTTCTCAGAACAGTGGACTGACTCCAGAGTCCAGGCCTCGACATTATTAAATGTGTTTTGGATTATTTCGATTGTGAGAAGCATAAAAATAAAACCAACTTCTAAGACTGAACTTTGGAACTTTCATTGCAGATTTCTTTGAAAAACTGAAACAACTTTCCTGGACATAATGTAAGCTGCAATGAAGGCAAAGGTGGACACACTAACAACTGAAAACCATAATAATAGATTTAGCTGTTTAGCCTTCAGTGTAATTTTCTTTTAAATAAATGTTTTCTTCTTTTTTCCTGACGCTGAAAAATGAATAACTTGTTCTTAATGGCTGGAAATGAAATAAATGAAGCATGGCCTCTGACTTTTGAACGGCACTGTATGTTATATTTTGTGTATACTGTCTGGCCCACTAACATTCAGATGAACACACACAAACACACAGACTTTATGAACAAAGTAATCCATCCATTTTGTTCAATTTTGTGAACTACTTGCTGGCTGAGCAAAGAGAGCTTAGTTGTCATGGTAACAGCTGTTAGATTGAAGGTATCAGTTGTCTGTTAGCTGTTACTACTCATTTTATAATTCAGACTGGTATTCTCTTAATAATACGTGCCGCCTCGGTGCTGTGTTGACCTGTGATTTTCTCTACTGACTTTTTTCTCTGCTAACTTTTTTTATCCTCTCTGCAGCTGCGTTTCCTGATGAACTGGGGCAGAGTGTGCCGTTGACTGAGGAGGAACAGAAGGCTTTGCTGTATCGTTCTCTGGAAGGAGAGTGGGGTTCACGTACACGTGATCAAGAATGTGAACGCATCATCAGCGGCATTGACCAGCTGTCCACATTAGGTAGGAGGTCATACCTCTACTGGGTTACCCAGTTTTTTGGAGGAATTTGCAAGACTTGATTGTTTTTAGTTCACACAGTAATTCTGGGTCCTACAAAATGACCTTATCAGTAAATATGACAGGTGATCATCTCAATCTCAACAATAAATATTGATTGTGTCCTAAATTCAGTTAGTCTCTGTCAATGTCATTATTTCCTTTCTCTCCTTGTCTCTCTGCCTCTCAGATGTTGCGACCCCATTTGCTGTGCCGGTGGATCTGCAGGCGTATCCGACATACTGCACTGTGGTGGCTTATGTCACAGACCTGAGTACCATGCGCAGCAGATTGGAAAATCGCTTTTACAGGTCAGCTTACATAGACACACAAACAGTCGTCTGAAAAAAGCTGAACTGGTCAGAACTGCGTCTTTTGTTGATTTTCTAAGTCAAAATAAGTTCACACATTTTCTACAGAGAATACTTAAATATGCGTATTTTAACATTTAGCTGAATATATTTTTATTTTTATATATATATTTTAGTTTTTTTAGTTATTTATATATATTTTAAATTCAGCAAATAAACAGTAATTGTGCATTAAATTGTGCAGAAGTGTGTTTTCTGTAGAGGATGTGCTGATTTATTTTCACTTAGAAAATCAACAAAAACCTGTAATTTGATCAGGGGTGCCAGAACTTTTGCATGTAACTGTACTCATTACATCAACCCTTAGGAGTAACTATTGTCATTTTGCTATACTATTTAAATGTAATTACACAATTACATTATTGATGAATTTGCTACTTTATAAACTACCTTTAGAAAAGAGTAAAAAAATGAAGACAAGAAATCAGAATGATACTTTAATAACCAAGAAATCTGTCAAACATTGAGAATGAAGTCATAATAATTAACATCCTGAATGTTTTGTATGTACGCTATGCTCACTATGTACACATAGTGGTGAAATCTCAGCAGATTACTTAATTACTAAATAACTAATTACTATACTAAATTACTATAAACAAACAATTACAGTATATAATTTTTCATTTATTAACTTTCTGGTGTTCACAAAAAGGCATATTATTAAATAAATTGAAAACATTGATTAAAACATCTTGAAGTACCTACTGTTGTCAATCTAGATTGTTTTAGTGAAAATTAAACAATAAAACAAATAATGACAATTGCATGTCCAAAAATATGAAGGATGATTTTATTTCTTTAGAACAAAATAAAACTAATTAAAATCTTCTTATAAAGCTTAGAATCTGAACAGAACTTCTCTGATTGTTTCAGTGAGCTGTGAGCGAGAAAGTTAATCTAAAAAAAATCATAAAATTACAACATACTTTTAATGCCATCAGTGATAGCTGTGCCTTCTGGGCGTTAATGCACACCTTCTTAATCGAACGCAAAAACACAGTGATCCATAAACACACAGTAATATCGCTGGGGAGCTATTCAATTTAAACAGTATTTTTCCTGTCTATATATATTTTAATGATTGTAATATGTTCACTTCCTACATGCAGTAGTGCTCGTAATTCTACAGACACTCACAGATATTACTCAGTGACAGAGATGATCATCTGATATGTATTTTTTTGTGTGTGTTGTGTTGGCAGACGAATGTCCTCTCTGATGTGGGAGGTTCGCTACATTGAGCACAACGCGCAGACCTTTAACGAGCCTGGAGCTTTTATCGTCAAAACTGCCAAATTCGTGTCCGACCTGCTGCTGCAGTTTATTAAGTAAGTCTGTCTTAGGATCAAACGTCAGGCTCCAATAATGGTACCAAATGTGCAATCCAAAATCAGACATGAGGTTAGAATCTTGCGTTAGTCAATTTATTACTTTCATTACTGTTAAAAAAAATAACTTGGAAAATAACAGTCATGTTACTCTGCCCCCTCTCTCTGTTCAGCTAAGAAAATATGGCGGAATCAGGTTAGCAAACTATGCCAGCTGGTTTTAGCACTGTGGAGGAAAAACGCACTCAGTAAAGCTTTGGATGAACCGTCTTCATAGAGATTTATGTCATTCTAGTCAGATGCTTCAAACTGCTGTGCAAGTAACAAGGCTAACTAGATGAGGCTGAAGTTGGCTTTTATTCAGACTTTCCGTTCCACCTTAAATGCTGCTGTAGAGATGATATTTGGCTCATTGCAGCTCATTACAAAGAAAAACAGGACAGCAAAGACACTCTTGACAGTTCTCAAGCAGCAAATCAGTATGAACCAAATGGGAAGTGTCTGTGGGCTTGTAACTTGATAATCCCCTGGACAAAAGAGACACGGGAGTTTGATGCTTTCTCTGGCCAAACGCTGACGCTATATGAAGATGTTTGGAAAGTATTTTCAATACCCTCAATAAACAGCCTATCTCACCGCTAGAAAGTGAAGTTATGACAATCCTTAGTAATGCTGGCAAATGAAGTGTTGATTCTACAGGCGTGTTTTGTGTTGATGGGTCGGAATGTGGGGCAGATCCAAAGAGTAAAAAAAAATGTTCCAGTGTTTTTATAATTCACCTATTGAACTGCTAAAGGTTGAATATCTTACAAATGAGTTTCTTACTATATTAAAATGTCTGCTTCATGTTGAACACCTCATGAAAATCTAGATCCTTAAGATGGGATTGAGTTTCAAGAAAAAGGCATGTTGTTCCATTAGAGATGTTAAAATATCTGCTGATAGCTGCTGATGTTGATGCCCCTAAATCATACTGCTTTGAAATTTTGCGCTTTCTTTAGCTTTTTAACATATCACTGCATTTATAACAGATTGCAGGTGGGCCCTCTCTCATAGTGGCAAGGAAGATTCATGTTCATGTGAATATCTTCATGTTTAAAATCATTTTTGGGCAACTTCCCACCTTAAAATTTAGCAACATGGCTTCTGATTATGCTGGAATCCCCAAAAAACTTTAGTATGGTCATTGTTTATTTTAACTCATCAGTGCAATATTACATCCTGTTCTTTTCAAATGAATTGTGGCTAATCGTGCTCCCTCTAGCAACAATAACCTGCCCTATGGATTGAGAATGCTGTTTTATCATATGTTGTTGTGAGTAATTTGTCTCATCTGTCACATTAAAATGAGGTTTTATAAGAAAAAAAGCTCCAAAGCACCTGGTGAGTCTTGATCCGAATGAATCACATTTTTAATTAGTCTTATTCTATTTTTTTGTGCTTTTAATAGGGACCAAAGTTGCACTGATATTATTCCACTGTATAACAGTATGAAAAAGACAGCTTTCTCAGACTCAAGTGATGTAAGTACTTCTTCCACCCTCCCTCAAAAAGACACCCACACAAACACACAGTGTTCATTTCAGGAAAATAATTTGTTAGATTAATGAGCAGATGTGTACTCTAATGCATTTGGGCTCTGAATGATTTGACTGATATTTAGTTGGTTTCCATGGAAAACCAGGATGAAGAGGAGGACGAGGAGCCCGAAACGCCTGGTACCTCTAAACGCAATAAGAAGGTAAGAGTTCAGATGTAATAATGTGTTATGTTATAGTGATAAATTTGACTGCTGTTTGGTCTTTATCAACAATGACAGCCTGCATGTACACAGATAGTGAGCTGCAGGTTAATTCTTTTCCTTTTACATAGGCTGTATGTAGGCCTAATATCAGAGGTAGGCAATGTGGCAAAACTATAATATCACAAGATTTAAAGACATTTTCACTATGTATGATATGTATCATGATAGTTTTACTGAGGTATTATAAAGTGGAATGTACAAATACTGTCAAAATATGAATACTATGGGGCTCCCGAGTGGCGCAACCGTCTAAGCGTTGGCCCTGTCATCAGGAGATCACGAGTTCGATCCCTGGTGATGCTACAGCCATCCGTAGCGGGAGTCCAAGAGAGCACAATTGGTCTCGCTCTCTCTGGGTGGGTAGGATGGCCCCTTCTTCTCCCCCCATCACTCAACACGATGCTAGTCAGCGCGGGCGTCTGTTAGCTGAAGTAACAGATCTGGCGGTTGGCGCTTTCCTCTGGGCGCGTTCAGCTGTCCAATGGCGTTGCGTGAGCGGCAGCTCGAAAAGAAGAGGTGGCTGGTTTCACAGGTTTCGGAGGAAGCCTGTGCTAGCCTTCTCCCTCCTAGCATTGGTAATATCGTGTGATTGGGGGAGTCCTAACTAGCGGGTGGAATTGGAAACGACTAAATTGGGGAGAAAATTGGGTAAAAATCCCCAAAAATATTATGCCTACAATGATAGGTCTAGGACTAATTTACTGGAAAGTAATTATGCTAATTAAAATACATAACTGATTGTGCTTTGAAAGATCGGTCAGTATTTAGGTACTGACAAGGACCACATTTTGTACAGAAAAGCATCACAATATGCTACAATTTATTACGTTTAGTGTTGTGCAAGTTACTGAAAAATTTGTTTCAGTCACTAGTTACTTTTTCAGAAGCGATTTACTTTACCAATTACCACATATAAAAGTAATTAGTTACTAGGGAAAGTAACTTTTACTTTTTACGTGTTACTTTTACATAACTTTAATGTTGATATTCTAAAAGTTGACATCTGGCAATCAGTCTGTTTGGTTTGCCTGGCTTACAGACTGCAGACGAATTTTTGGGTTTGAAATCAGGCCTTGGCTGTTTGGGTGGAGTGGCTCTTTGGTCAGCAGCGCTACCTCTGGAGTCTTCTGCGATTAGCATTGCAGATACTGTATTTGGACATTGTATTTGAATAGTACACTTTAGATAACTCACATTCAACTAAATCTCTACTAAATTCACCTTAATTTTCTTGAACTCTAAACCTGGCTAACTAACCCTAACCATAACCTCAACCCAAAAATTAAACCCAACCCTCACCCAGGTCCTGATCCTGACCCTGATCCAAATCCTAACCCTAACCCCACCACAGTTTAGAATCAGTATCTCTTCAGATAGTTTGTTAACAATTCAAACATCTGTAGATGATCTGTATTCAAATAAAGTGAGACCGACTGTTGTTTTACAATACTTTTTACATGCGTGCTGTTTGGCTTGGAGAAATTGTTTAGCACCAGTAGCATCTTCTGGACTCCTGTGTACTGTCTTTGAACTGTGTGTGCAAAAAAAAGAATGAGTATTGTGGCAAAAGAAGCTCATGGTGTGAGAGAGACTCAAATTTGGAGATGGGCATGCAAACAATGGTTGCTTAGCGACAACGTATCACTCTCTCTGCGGAGCTCTTAGGTCAGAACTACACGCTGTGCTGGCGGTAGTGAAATCCTGTTGGGAGGGCAGTTGACATGAATGTATTGTTTTATTAAACATTTTTAATTAACCTTTCGTGTATGATTTGCCTATAATTTGGTTAGCAGGTGTTTTTTGGCCACAGTCATGATCCTGTATGTTAATAAAACTGAACTTGACTGATGGAGAATGGAGAGTTTCTCGTGTGTTAGCCAAAGCACAGTCTGAGCCAGTGCAGCTGTGGCACATCAGCAGGCATTAGACCTGATAGAATGCAATACAAAAAAAAGTGATTTTATGACATTGTTTTAGTGTTCAGGGTTTTTGTACTAAATCACGTACGAAATACAAATTCAACTTTAAAGGTATACATGTCCAACTTGGATGCTCATTATGGGATTGTGATGGCCTTGCTGATCAATTTGTAACTGAAGATGCCATGCTTGATTATCCCTGTCTGACACTCATGCTTTCTTGCTTACGACTGGACTGATGATGTCATACCTTCTAGCATGAGTCTGATAGAATGTTGCCCTATTTAGGGTAAGCAGCAGCCTATTCTGAGAAATCTGAGGAATAAGCCAGCATCTGGAGACCCCCAGGCCTGGAGGGGGCGCTGCAGAGAACTGCTAGAGCTCATTTTCCAGTGTGAGGACTCTGAGCCTTTCCGACAACCTGTGGATCTGGAAGAATACCCGGTAAGGTGTGCATACAGAGAAAACGCTCTATACAAATGCAGACTGTCTAAAATAGTCTAAAATTAGTCTCGCAAGCCAGACGTCTCAAGAGAGTCTGGTACTTTCCATAACATTGCCAAGAACTGCATATCTTGTTAGGAAGATGCCGCTTGACTGACATGACAAACAACCGATCACAGCCTACTGGCGCAGGTTATCGAGGGTTTACTATTGTGAAAATACCACAGATAAATGTCTTGCTCTGAAAAGCTCCTTTTTTGTCACAATGTCTACAATTTTGCTGGAGAAACTAAACTTTGTTTCCTGTCTGAATGAAAAAAAACGCTGCATTGACATGCAAATTCTGATAGTTCTGGCCAGCTTTGTGTGCAAAAGATATCAATGCTCTGTTTCTGTGGGGAGAGTTTCCAAGGCTGAGACAGTGCAAACCTAGTTTCACTTTTAACACACATTTGTCTGAATTAGTCATTGGCTCTTTCTTCAGACTCACTAACACAAGCACAACACATATGCTGTGAAAACTGTATGAACAAGAAGATGTGCATGCTGTCTTTTAGGATTATCTGGATATCGTGGACACCCCTATGGACTTCGGTACAGTCCTGAGCACTCTTCTTGCAGGAGAGTATGAATCTCCTATGGACTTATGCAAAGATGTGCGACTCATCTTTAGTAATTCCAAAGCCTACACACCCAGCAAGAAGTCCAGGGTAAGAAACCTATCAATAGAATAATTGTTAATTAATATTGTTATCTAACATTAAATATTACATGGATATCGGAACAAAGCCAATCAAATTAGGGTCTCCATACTATTTTGCCATTCAGTTATAACACTTTATTCTGTAAGAGAAAAATATGCAGTTTTTTTTTACAGTGGAATATGTGTTTGTTTGTAGATCTACAGTATGAGTCTTCGGCTGTCTGCCCTGTTTGAAGAGCACGTCAGCTCAATTTTAGCCGATTTCAAATCAGCTCAGAGTCTACAGAAGGAGCGACTAACTCGACAGCGCCTGCACACAGAACGACCGACCAGACAAACCATGAAGAGGAGGAGAAGAAGCTCCTCCCCATCCAGCTCTGCCTCCAGGTACACACATTTATGGGTATCCAGAGAGTTATAATAATAATCTCTTAGCCGTGCAACACACAGTAAAGTAATGAGTAGTTTATTTTAGGGCTGTCTCCAACTGAGGGTTTTATTAAACACAAGACCTCTCTGACTTTTCACTACACCCCTACCAGCACCCTGACTATAGACTAGTGTTAAAACTAGTTTTCACACTAAATGGAAGCTTTAATGTGATATATATCACTGTTGTCAGAAGAAAACTTTGTATCTCCAAAATGGTAACTTTACAGGAAAAGTTGTTTCTTTTGGTCTAATCTTCATGAAATTTACACACAATGTAAAGGCCAACAGGTATTTTCCAATAATGTCCAACACTGAAAAACGACAGAAATGGAGATAAGAGGTTTTCTTCTGACAGCAGCGATACGTTATTGAGAATATTACAGTGAAGTAAATCACTTACTTCTCCAAATGTCTTAGTCCATAGTGCATGCAGGGTTGTAGGTTAGTTCTGTACTCCAGTGAATTGCAGGATAAAACAGGGCTAATATTGCATTTTAAAAAATCAACCAGTGTAAAAAATCTATTCAAAACGCAGCACTCTAGATTTCAGCAATCTAATTGGCCACCCCGGCAAAATTCGTTTATTTGCATGAATTTCAACGTTTTTTTGCTGTCTTTGCCAACATCGCTCCTGTGCCACTCCCACAACCTGCCATGCAACTGCTATCAGTCTCCATAGAAATCAGTGGACATTATCTTTTATACTGTATAATGTAAACGCGGTGTAAGCATGACCACTTGGGGTTTTTAAGTATGACATCAGGTTAAAAAAAATGCTTATTTAAAAATGTTTTTTTCAGAGCTTGTGTTCTGCTTTTTTGGAATCATTTTTTTGATCCACATGGAAGATTTTTTTTTTTCCAAGTTGCATCCTCTTTGCTCACGAGTACTCAATGCGTTGTATGACTGAGCTATGCTTTAACACAGACTCACCAGCTACATGGTTCAGACTTCCATTTGAAAGATCTACAATTGTAACCATAATTCACTTATAAATAAATAACCAAATTCAAGACTGAATAAAGAAATGCAGTAAAAGCATTCAGCTGAGTGGCAGAATCTCAGTCCCAGAACTCAGCAACTTATTTGTCATCTAGTTGACTCAGCCCAGGTTGACCACGTTTTGAGTTCACCAGTTAAAACTTTTGTCTGACTTCTTTCTCGTCAGCCCTGAGAGGAAGAGGCGTGTCTCTTCTCGTGCTCCTCCCCGATCTGAAGCAGCAGCTCCTCCCACCCCAGCTGGACCCTCCCGGCCTCCCTTCTTAAGACAGACACTTCCGCATATCAATGGCAAGGCGGAGCCTGCTGTAGCCGCAGGACGCACTCGTAGCTCCGCCCGTTCTGGAACTCATTCCACAGACCCGCCTCCCTCACAGTCATCTCCACCTCCTGTCCCCACCCACAGTAAAGGAGCTGAACATTCCTCCAAAAACCTCAGAGCTCAGAATTCTCACTCCACGCCAAGCATCTCCCGGGAAACAGAGAGCTCTGCCGTCGCTCATAGTAACGGGGGAGGGGGTGGGGGCGGGGGCAGAGAGTCCAGGAGGAAACTTCGTACCCCAGTTAAGCACACACCAGGTTAGTAAATGGTAACATTATTACAGTTTTCATTTGCATGTGAGATGTAGGAATGGGCATTTTATCAGTAATTAAATAGCAACAAGTAATAATCAGTATTAAAAAGTCTCGTTCTGGCACTCCCAATACAGGAAGGTGTTACTTGTCTTGCTACCATTTTCTTTCATACCGAGTGAATCTAACTGAGCAAATCATAATGAAAAATTTTCAAACCAGACAGGTATCTTTATTCCGCAAAATTCAAGTTCAAGCAGCACTTCTATAAAAGATCATTCACAAAAATGTGAAAAATGACCATAAACAAAACCATTTATTATTTTTATTTTGACTGATCTGTGTTGCAGTTCTATGATGTAAGTAATGTAAGACAGGTAAGTGCACTCACACTGTGTTAAAGTGATACTGTTTTAGGGACCTTAAGCAGGATTTTTTGACATAATGGTATAGTGAAAAACAAAACAAAAGTAGTTAGGGGGCCCCTGGTGCCTATAGACCCCTAAGCAGCTGCTTATGTTATTTATTAGGTAGAGCTGAAGCTATACATGACTCTTACTGTTAATGTGGCACTTTATTTGATTCATATTATATAAACAGATACATTTTTTGTATAATAATTTTAAATATCAGTTTGTTCTACTAAAGAGCAAATAATGTTATTTCTAATGTTGACTAATAGACTGTGCTAGAAATGTGCTGCTGTGTTTCATGTGTTCATTTAGCCCACACAATTAGCCATCTGCCATCCTTCACGTTTACCATGTTATGTAGTTTATGTAGTTTTGTTTATTATTATATTATTTGTGTTGTGTAATGTACGTATCACTCAGATCCTTTTATTTATTCACTGTTTTTCTGTCAGGTCCAGTGGATCACACTCCTCCACCGCTGAACAGTGTTCATCTGAACGGCCATAGTAGCCAAGTGACTTTGGGTGTAGTGAAAAGGGGACGGGGCAGACCCAGACTAGAGCCTCAAGTAAGGACAGCAGAGGTGGCTGAGCCACCCACTTCGCCCCGCCCTTCCGGAAAGAAGCGAGGCAGGAAAAGTAAAAAAGAACTAGAGGCTCTTCAGATAAACTCCGCCCATGAAGATGAGTCCACAGGCGATGAGGGCAGGGCCTCATCCGCAACACAGGACGCTAGCTTATCAGACTCGGGGGCGGGGCTTGCTGAGCAACCGAGAAAGCGGGGCAGACCACGAATAGTCAGGACAACAGAGCAGGCTCCGCCTACTCAAGCCCCCTCAGAGCCCAAAAGTGTGAGGAGGAGCAGTCGCCGTGGCAACGAGGCTGCCACGCCTTCTGCCCCTGGTTCAGCTCTAAGGGAGGCAGATACAGAGTTGGACGGGGTGGAGTCTGGAGGGGATGGAAACTCCAAGGGGCAAATGAGAACGCGCAACCAGGGCCGTAGGACAGCGTTCTACAACGAGGAAGACTCTGAGGAAGAGCAGAGACAGCTTCTGTTTGAGGACACCTCCATCACTTTCGGCACGTCCAGCAAAGGCAGAGTTCGCAAACTCACAGAGAAGGCCAAAGCCAACCTCATTGGCTGGTAATGCTGCCAGTCTGCTGGTCCTTCATGACATCATCCCACACTGAAAAAAGCAGTGCTTTGGAATTACCTGATTTAAATGTGTACATCAGTTTCACTTGAATATTACATCAACACAATTATTGACAAAGGAAGAAAGACAAAGTTGTGTTGATTGAGAGTGTGACAGTTTAATACCGTATCAAACAATCAAAAATTTTGAACTATCACTATCATCAAATTTAAGCCTCTCAGCCTCTACTGAGGGTGTTTCATTTCCATCTTTGGTGGGATTCATATTGTGTTTTTTCTGAAGGCGTAAAAAACGCGATGTGCACTGTGTGGTCCTCTGGCTGTGTTTCTCTGTTGCTAAGCAACAATAGCATTGTAAACATCAATCAGCTGTGCTAGCTGGCTGTCGTTTCGATATGTGTAGGCAGAAAGCTCTGTCTGTCACTCACCCTTTTAGTGAGTGATCTACTATAAACTAGCAAGTGTGGTGCTTCTAGTAAAAACAAGCTGAAAAGCTTCTTTTTGTTTGTGCCATGCTCATTTTGCGCAGTTAAATTATGCAGTATAGGGTACTCAGAGACTGCAACTGTCACTGAAGGCCTAACTTCCTTTTCATTGGTCAGCACAGAAAAAATGCTAGTGACATACACTGATTGACCACCTCTAGCTGGAGCATTCCACACAAAAGACAGCTGCACAAGTGCACTAAAACAGCGAGGAAAGCACGTCCTTCCCATTAAAAATAAATGCCTAGAACTGCGAGAAATATGCAGTGTGAACCCTACCCTTCAATAACCACTGTCAGTGATCAGAACTAGACCCTCCGCATCCCATTGGCAGAGGTTTTTTTACACGTATCAGAAGATAGCAAATCTTGACCTCACAATCAAAAATATCTTTGGACCTGAAAACATTGTTAGATTGTTACACTCCTAGTGTTGATGTATTTTGTTCGTGTGCAACCAGTGTGTTATTCTGAATCAGGTAAATTTAAAACGCTCCTTTTTTCAGTGCATATCTCTGCCCCGCTGCTGCCCCTTGATGCACTGGGGCAACACACACCATTCCTGCTGCTATCTGACTGTCTGAGTTTATCTGAATCGTTGATTCTGACTCTGACTTGATTATGACTCTGAATCTTTTGACTCTCCTCAGCGGCTCTGTACTGAAGGGCTTCTGTCCTCAAACGGTCGCTCGGCCCCTGAAAGCCCCAGACACGCTTCCCCTTCAGTTAAAACGCACACACAGTGAAACATGCATTTACCAATGTTTTCATTTACTCTGCACTGCTTGATTGAAAACCAGTGAGTCAAGGTACTTCAGTCTGACAGACATCGCAGTTTCTTTTCTTGCATCACACATGCATCATGTTTTTACCACACTTGTAGTTGCTAATGGCAACACGTCAAACTGTTCTTCAGTTTTTAACAGAGTGTTCTCCAAGTGTGCGCGTGAGTGCGTGAGAGTGTGTGTATGTGGAGTTTCAGAGTGGGATATTTTGGTGGTTATGCAATGATGGACCTTCTAAACTGTTCCTGTTGTCTTTAAACGTCTATCTAAAGTACTACTGGGATGAGATTAGTTTTACATGAGGAGGTGGGTAATGTCACTGTTGCCTGTGGTTCTCAGTGATTTTAGTCCCATCCAAATCTGTCATGTCAGTAATTTTTATGGACCTTATCAGTAAAGATACCCCTGCTTTTTACCTGCTTTAAAAGAAGCTGAAAAAATGACCTCAGATTATATTAATCTTGTGCAAATGGCTACGTGGAAAACTCAAAAAAGCATTTTCCTCTGTACTCTTGGCCCAGATGAAGCAGATATGTGTTCTTCTACCTCACATTTACAATTTGAAATATTAAAACATGTAAAATGACTGAAAAAAGTTTGATTTTATAATGATGTTGGCTGTAAATTCCCACTCTAATGACAATGCTAATGACGTTCACTCAGTAGAAACAAGGTACACAAAATTGCAGTTGAATTAAAGGGCCAATATCTTGGAAAATTGAATTTTCCTCACTTTTTTAAATGAAAGAGTGAGATGTAGTACGTGAACATTCTTAAGTGGCCCATATAATGGAAAAATACATTTTCCTCACTTTTTAAATAAAGCAGTATAAAGGAATACGTAAACATTGTTAAAGTTTCAAAATATAAAATTCACTCCACAGTCCATATATGGAGCTCGCTTTGAAATAATTGCTTCTGTGATGTCATGAGAACCAACTCATTTACTTATATCCACCCATTCAGCCTACAGCAATTTAGCCCCGACCATTCACACTGAAGTTGTAAGCAGTGTTTCACCTCCACCTGCTCTTTCAATGAGGCACAAGAAAGACAATGAGAACAGAGGTCATTTACATACGGGCACAGTAACAAAAACAGCCTGGTTAATTCTAAGGGATAAATAGAGTTTGTAAAAAAGGTCATGTAGAAATTAATTCTGAAGTGGACACGAGGGAAAAAAATACAAGAAAAATGTGGCATATGGGCCCTTTAAAACGTACCCAGTCCGTACAGTCCACACACCAAAACTAAGCTCCTACAATGGCTTATTTGAATGCATTGTTTCTATGTCACAAAAATTGGTGCATTTTTGTGTGTCTGCTTTTTAGCCCCGTCCATTCACAGTAAAGGTGTAAGGAGTGTTTAAAGCTATACTGCCAATCAGAACTGAGCTTATTTACTTACATATGTCTTAAAGGCACAGTAATAATTTCAGCCTGTTGAATTCTAAAGAATAAAGGTTGAGAAAATGGTCCTGTAAAAATGTATTATGTTTTGTTTAAAAACCACACAACTGTCAAAAACGGACCCCTTGAAGATATGGGCTCTTTAAATGTTTTGACAAGTTTTCTATTACATTTCTAATTGTCGAACGTATATGAAACTTAGAGAGGTAGGTAGCCCCTCCCATCTCTCATCTCCTATCTATCCTATTTTTACCTAAATTTCTGTGTGAATCAGTCATAAACATTACAGACATACTGTGGTAAAATTACATCAACCCACCTCCTCAGAAAAAACGAATCCCATCTGAATAGCACTTAAGTGAAAGGAAGAAATAATGTCTGGTTTTGGCAAGTTTTTATATGACTAGCAATACCTTGTGCCTTTTGATCATTTAAATACAATGTTCATTCTTTCTACTCCACACTGTGTAGTATTTTGTGTCGGATGGTTGATTGTTATTGATTTATCTAGAGCAAATTGTTTCATTGAACTGGTGTAATAGGCCAATGTCTCTGACCGCTGTTTATGCGTGTGTGTGTGTGTGTGTGTGTGGTAGAGAGATGACCTCATGCTGTGAGTGGTCTGTAAGGCATGTAATTGAAGTGACATTAGGCATGGACACTTTTATTGCCCCGAATTCTCAGCGTGGCACTGCAAACGGATTAACCTGCCACACGCACACATACTCAACTGTTCATTGATGAGAGCTCTATTCATGTTCACAGCACTTCTGTACTGTACTACGGGGTTCATCTAGTATTTGAGCGTACCTCCACCGAGCAGGGGTTGAGTGGGGATTCTTCCCTATGCATTGTGATGGAATGCACGAGTTTTTTTTTTTTTCCCTGGAAGCGCACATTCCTTTCATGCTAGCAAAAACGCTCAGTCGGAAACACTGTGCGGCTGTCTTGATGTGTTGAGGAGCGTTGGAGTGTTTCTTTCTGATGCATTGGCCGGTCAAGCTGATCTCGCAGAGGGGAGAGAAAGAGATTCAGTCTCTGTGGTTTTGCCTGTGCCTTGGAACACTGTGTGTTTGTGTATATATATATATGTTTGTGTGTGTGTGTGTGTGTGTGTGTGTGTGAGAGAGAGAGAGAGAGAGAGAGAGAGAGAGAGAAAGAAAGATTTAGGGGGGCATTCAGTGGGAAAGACAGATATATAGATTTAAAACTGGTACTACATGCTAAATGCTTGATGGATTCAGTCTCCTTTAGGTTTTATTATTTTTGTTTTGTTTTTTTTTTTGTTTGTTTGTTTTTTTGCTTGATTTAGTTGATGCTTTACATGCGTGTGCACTTATTTTCAGCCGAAACATTTTTTTTGCCAGAAAGTTTTTTTTTTTGATCCTGCTCATTGACAGCAGTTGTGGTCTGGTCAGGTCCGGCACTGTAAATAGTGATGCATTGAGCAGACATCATTCAAATGTGTTGATCATTTCTACATGAATAAAATATATTACATCAACACATTTATTGCCAAAAGTATGTAAAACTAAAAGACAAAATTGTGTGGATGTAATTTATTTTATTCATGTGGAAACATTTGAAAATTTACAAGATATACACAATAGTTTTTGGTGATAAAAATTAGGCAGCATTGTGAATAGCATGGTCATCTTAATGCCTCATTCTATGCATATTTTATCCATGTAGTTGAGTTTCTTGAAGACCAGGCAGTGCTGCAGCCTCGCCTTGTCTCGGAGTATGAGCATTTAAATTCTCAAGTTATAATGTAAAAGGCAATGCGGCTGTATAGGGTAGTGGATAACACCCCTGCCCTGAGCACAGGAGTGCAGTGTTCATTTCCCCGTTCGGGCAGGACTACAGGCAAGACTGCTATTCTCTAACCTGCTGTGGACAAGAGTATTAGTTATAAATGCAGAGCTACAGGAAGGGTGAGGAAGTTTAGTCACCTTCTCAAACAACATCCCCTGCAATACAAAACATATGACTGTGTACCAGTGGCTCTAGTGTTTAGTTCACTTAGAGAGCTTTTACATTTTGTTCACCCTGAGACCTGACTGTGTGCCCAGAAGTGGTCCAGAGAATGAGGGCTTGAGTTTTGCGAAAAACGCATCTCTTGTGTCATCCTACGTTTGCAGATTGCTGGACGAGGACATGGCACACATCCAGGAACTGCTGTTGATCGCTGTTTGAGTGTTGGTAGCCTTTCAAAGGAACAATATAAATTCATGAGCCTGTTGCCAAAAGCAAGTTCTTTTTTGTCAGAAACAGTGAAGGGATCAACCTATTATTCACCATTTAGTAGAAACCATGTGCACAAGGGTGACATATGGAATTGTGCAATCGATGCACGGTTCAGAATCCGTGGTCTCCCATGTGGAAACTGACCTGCAATAATGAGTCCTTCCCCCAAACGAGTCCTGGATGTGGAACTATTCAATATAAACACCCTTATTGACAAAGAGAGAACAGTTTTTAACTGTGTTCATTCTTATTTTACTTAACACTTTGAATATGCTTGGCAACAGTTTATTTACTTTTAACTCACATTGCATTTAAGGCTGTTCAGCCGCAATTATCTCTCTTCTGACTAAAAATATCACATTTGCGCGCAAATGCATTGGCATCAAGATATATATCGCATCACCAAAAGGCTGGAAAATATCGAGACGCATGTTTTGAACCATTTTGCCCAGTCCTATGTGGAAATGTTGTACTTATTTGAATAAAGTAAATTCAATGCATCACTTTTTTTCAGTGCGCCGTGGCAGTACCGATTTAGCCCATAGCTTTAAAACTGGTTTGGTGAACCAAAGCCCCGTATGGCTGTATGTGTGTCTGTGCGGATGAGCATTTGTAGCGAATGGCTGTATGATGTGTGTGGGTCTGTGCATGCGTGTTGTTTATACTATGAGTGAATGTATGTGTGAGTATGTCATGGAGATGGTTTTATAATCACATGTTGCAAAAAAAGCTTATTACGTCTGACCGTTGACCCTTCCCCATTCACCGTACTGCTACCTGCACAGAAAGTGCCATCCCACGGACACTGAGAGCAAAAGCGGGCTGCATGTGCACTCGGCCCTCTGTCCCAGGCGTCCTGAGGGGCTCACATGTTTAGGGGGTTGGGTTTTCTCTCACTGGTCCAATATGCCTGGACCGAGAGGACTTTCTATGTTAGTTTGTATACTTTTATATAAAGACTTAAGAGTAAATGCAAAAAAAAGAAACATTAAGATAGAATGTACGTGTAGGGAGTACTGTTGTCTTTAGTTAGTTCATACTGATATTTTATTGAAATAAACAGTTGTGTTTCCACATGCTGCCTTGTGTCTACTCTCTGTATGACGAAAATGTGCTGAAAGTGTTCATATAATAGAAAACAAATTTAAGCTAACCTACTGTTCTTAGTTTTCTTCTTAGCAACTTTAGCAACCACCTGGGATATCATAGCAATGGCCTTTCAACACCTTAGAACCAACTAGAAAACTACAGTAACAGCCTAGCAAAGCCTTGGCAATCACCTGGGATACGATAGCAATGGCTTAGCAGCACCTTAGCAACTACATAGGAGACCAATGGCCAGCCAACCTTAACGACCACCTGGAACACCATAGCAACAGTCTAAGGACACCTTAGCAATCACCTTACATACCATAGCAACAGCCTAGCAGCACCTTAGCAACTACACGGGATACCATAGCAACGGCCTAGCAACATCTTGGCAACCACCTGGACCACTATAGCAACAGCCTAACGACACCTTAACAGGCACCTTGCATACCATAGCAACACCCTAGCAACTACATGGGATACCGTAGCAACGGCCTAGCAACACCTTAGCAACCAACTGGAACACTATAGCAACAGCCTAACGACATCTTAACAAACACCTTACATACCATAGCAACAGCCTAGCAACCTCATAGCAACACCTCAGCAACATCCTGGAATTACTTCATAAACAAAAGTTAGTAAAAACAGTGAAGTGTTCTGCAGCTGCTTAACTTCTGAAGTATTGTTCGCTGGCTTTGTCAAGCCAACCTACAGTTTGTTAACAAACTTTCCCTTCTAGCTATCTTTGCTTTTTGTTTAAATGACTTGGTTGTACGATGTGAACAGTTTCAAAATGTACTGTTCAGTTCACAGTCCACACCTCATTTGGAAACTAAGCTGTTAAAACAGCCTGTTTTGAACTTGTGGTTGTGATGTCACAACCACAAACACGCAAATGTGGCCTTGCAGTCATCATTTGCACATACCTGCGAGGCTGTAGGGTGCCCCATTTCCCTTTTTGGCACTCAAATGGGAACTCATGAGCACGAGGTCTTTAGCAAGGACTGCATCTCACAATACTTGAGATACAGACAAGCACCAGTCAGACTGGAGGGATTTGCTTAAAGCTGTCTGACCAACAAGGCAGAGAAGAAGATAGAAGATATTCAAATTCATTTATTTATTTAATTTGTCATTGAGCTGCATTATGCATGTCACCTGTATTAAGCCAGTTTTACTGAACACTTTTAAACCTAGTGACCTTAAGATTTCCCACTTTATGTGTGTATTTTGTTGATCTCACCAAAATGCAGACTGAGGAGTGCAGGACTTTGGGAACAGGGCCATGGACACCTATTCAGCCTACAGCAGTTTAACCCTGCCCATTTACAGTGAAGTCATAAGGAATGTTGTTACTGCAGACAAGGCACAAAAAGGCACTTATGACAAGGTCAGCCAATCAGATAAGAGATCGTTTACATGTGTCAGTGTTAGGAATTCTAAGGGAGAAAGAAAGTTGGACATGTATGGTCATATAAAAATAAACTGACTGTTTTATGCAATAATAATAAAAACAAGAAGATGCATTATATGGGTCGTTAAACACATCTATTAAACCATTTACACCTCTTGTTAATGTCCATCTGTTTCATTGCTGAGCTGCATGTGGGCTCCTGATGTCTGATGATATGATGCTGGTGTAAGATCTTGATGGGGTTTTCTTGCTTGTCCTCAGGACCTGCTTGACCACTTGAGAGGCTCTTTCATGTGCTGTGATGAAAAAGCCTCACCTGAATGCTCCAGAGATTTTAATGAATAATCTACCATCACGTCTCTCTTGAACTCCTGTCATAACTTGTAATGAGCTTCATGATTGGCAGTGTGGTTACCCTCATATCTTTCTTCCTTCCAGGTTCTCATGTTTAACATATTGTACATGCCTGATACGCATCATTCTTTGTTTTCATGCTCTTCGACAGGTTTTCTTTTGAGTTTTGGTTACTTAAGGTGTTTTCATAGTTTTAGTGGGGGTTTCCTCTGTTTCTCCTCGGCTTGCTTGTTACAACGCCGGCCATGCATTTCTAGAAAACTGCTTCCAAGTAATGTCTGTACAAATAAATTTAACTAAATTTCATTTAATGAAAATTTACTGCTCAATTATATAGCTATTATTATTATGATTATAGAAATGGTTGCATTTTCTGTTTCTCAGAATCCAAGTAATCCCAAACACATTCAGTGATGTTGAGGTCTGGACGCTGGGGTGGTCAGTCCATTGTTCTAAGATCACCAACAGCTTCTTTGTTTGATCTTTTCTCAGTAAGAGCTTTTTAACAGCTACACATCCTTTCAGACCCTTAGAGCAGAGTTGTCTTCTCACAGTGGAAGGCTGGACAGAAACAGCCATGCATTTTCTCTGTAGCTCTTAATCATTTTTTGAACTCCAGTTTTGGGAACTCCTGTTTTCTCACTTGACTTTCCACTTCCTTATGCAACTGGATTGTTTTATATCCAATCTCCTCAGTAATATCTCCAAAACAAATGAATAACTGGTCCTTAATGGCAATTCTGACTGGAAATTAAATAAATAAAGAATGACTTTTGCACAGTATTGTACATCGGCTGTACATGTAAGGGCCTGTATTGTGGAAAACCAAAAATTTCTCACTTTTTTGTATCAAAACATTTGAAAATAAACACTGTTAAACTTTAAATACCTACCATTTACTCCTCAATTCATACAGTCAATATATGGAATCTAACGCAGAAACAGCCCATTTTGAATTCATTATGTTTATGATGTCATGAAAACCAACGTATTTACATTGTTAGAAAAGTTAAAAGTCATATTTATGAAAAATAAATAAATATATATCAATCGAACTGAACGGCTGTACGTTTTGTGGACAACGCCGCCCTCTGCTGGCCGCCCGCTTTATCTGCACCGTGTAAACAACATCCGCGTGCAGCGTTTCGCCCCTGACGTGGCGTCTCGAGACACGCACAGCTGCGCCCCTCGTGGGCCACAGCGATTGGTGTGTGTGCGAGTATGTGTAGCGATTGGTTTGGCGCTGTGTGTGTGTGTGTGTGTGTGTTTGTGCGATAGTGTGTGTTTGTGTGTGTGTGTGTGTGTGTGTGAGTGTGTGCGCGCGCGCAGGGGGCAGGTGCAGAACTGAAACCTCCACCTCATGCAAATATAACGAGTTTTAGAGAGCGCGAGGCAGCGCGTTTGGTGAAATTTGGTGGAAAGTTGTGAAATTCAGATCACAGTAAAGTGATCAGAAGCTCCTCGCGCTCAGCCTCGTGCAGTAGTTGTGCTTTAAGGTTCCACCTGTTACAGCAGGTAAGTACTCACATGATCTGACCGCTTAGTGCTCAGTGACCTCAGTGAGGACAGGACCGCTCAGAGCAGTCAGTCAGGGCTCTGTTCTCTCTGCTCTGCTCTGCTCTGTCAGTTTAATGTGAGGGTCTTTAAATGATAATGTGCTTCACTTCTACTCAGACAGGCTGTGTTTGTGAGGAGAGCAGGTTTTTCTCCGCTCTGTGTGAGTTTTGAGCTTTCAGTTTCTGCTCTGTTGGTTCAGCTCCCCGACTGTTTTACTGTCCTCACTTTGGGGCGTTAGCATCCTATTTTAGACCAAAATGATCCCAAAAAGATTTTAAATGAAATATCTTTCAAAATACATGTTTTGTTGATTTGCTTAAGTGAAAATAACGCATTCTTAAAAGGGATCACACTTAAATATGGCACGTTTTGAAGATTTTAGTGCACTATTTAGAGCACACTGAAAAAAACATAAAATGTAAAATGTGCCATAACTTTTGCACATGCCATTTATGCTCTACTTTTCCAATATGTTAAATTAGGCAAATAAACATTAAGTGGACATGAAATTGTGCAGAAATGTGTTCTCTGTAGAGGACTCACTTAGAACATCAAAGAGTAATTTAATAAGGGGCGTACAAACTTTTGCACGTGATTGTATTTACCCTTTTCATAACTTAACGGTTTAAATAGAAAAGTAAAATAAAAAGCCTGAGGAGAGAGCAGGATGTAGGGGTGGAGTCAATGCAACTTAAAAAAAATTATTCCTAAACTAAACATACTGAAGATGTACAAAGAGAAAAAAACAGACGCAACAAACCTGTTCCCACACAAAAAAACAGACAAACAAAAAAAAACTGAAAAAAGGGGAAATAATTGAGAAAAAAATTCAAAAATAGTTTCAAAATTTGAAAAAGAAAGTTGGTTATGACGTTTTTTGAGGTTTAAATAAATGTAAAATATTGTCTTTGTTTATGTACACTAAAATGTTGTTTAATTTACAGTATTTATTTTGAATAAATCCAATTAAACTGTTTGTTACCACATGAAATATCTTTTACATTGAATAGACAAAGCAGTTTTACAGTGTATGCTAATAGATGCTGTATATTTCCTTAAGTATGTATGTATGTATGTATCTTACTCCAACTTCTACTTGACTCATTTCATTGCTGTAACAATGCTTTCAGTGCAGTGAGGCTTTAGGCTGCTCAGTTCTGAGGCTGTGATATTGAAGTGTGAGTGACGCTTTTATGGCTGTTTCAAGTCTGCACTGATCCACACATCACCTGTCAGAACTGTTTTAGCTTGTTTGTAAGTCTGAGTTTACAAGTTGAATTTGATGGGCAACACTTTACTTCAACCCACACTGACTTAAATGTGTTATAACATGTCGTCAGATGATGATGTCATGTGTTGTCATAACAGATTATGTCCAGTAATATTACAGTGTTACCATTAGCGTTAATTGTCATGACTGATGTCATAACGTTAGACGTCATAGTGGATAACTAGCATGGGCTATGCTTAGCAAATATGATCATATGACATAATTATGTCTGACATAAAGGGGATGTGACATCAAAGGTTCTGATATCTAACATGACAATTAGCAGTAATGGCAACTGTTAACAAGTAAGAAGTGAACTTTTGTGTTTGCACATTCGTGACGTACTTGTCTCTATTCTTACAGGTGACGTAATGCCCCAGCTGACCGCAGCGTTGCAGGTGGCGCTGTTGCTTTCTGTGGTGCCCGCTCAGTACCTCATCAGCAAATGGACCAGCGGAACAGCGGCACAGCGCAGCGTCGCCACACAGGGGTTAATACACATACTTCTACTTCTACTCTAGTGTATTTGTGAGGAAAAAAGAATCTACTTTTTACTCAATTACATTTTATTTTAGACCAAGGCTCAATCCTGTTTCTTATTTTTGTCCCTACCCCTTGTTTTCGAATGTCACCTTGCCCCTTGGAACTGAATTACAAGTTGTAGTGCCTGAAAACCTCCACTTTGAAAGGTTTGGACAACTTTCAAATAAAAAAGAACATTACTTTATTAACAGGCTACTAGCGGTGCTCTGTAGGCGACCCTGCCTGTCTGCAATGATAGCAGAGGAGGGTAAAGTTCAGCAACCTCACTGGTGGGCTTTAGTTACATTTAGGGCATCAAGAGCCTTCAAAAAGGGGGATGTGACAATTATTTATTATTGCCCACCCCTAATTCTTCAGTGATATGAAGCTGAAGTCAGCTATTTGCCAGCTTTTTGTTTGAATTTTCCCGTTCCACCTTAAAAGGCGCAGCATTTCTGACCCTTAAGATGCTAAAATGTAACTGCTGGACTATTTAAGGTGGAACAGGGAATTTAGCTAGCTACCTACGGAGACATCAGCAAACTACTAGCGATTATTATACTTGTTATGAAGAAGACAACCATAATACATTGATATGACATTAAACTTAGATGTTACAATGGTTATCATAATTTTTTAACAGAGAAAATATTCACATTTGTGGGTTTCTTTGCTTGCGGAGCCATCTTGCGTGTTTTTTTCTCATAACACTCCATTGGGACTGTGCCTCTGAAAAACCTCCGTTTGGACGGCCATTAAGCCCTAACACTTCACCCTACCCCTCTATTTCAACAATCAGGACACCCTATTTCTAGGTGTGAACGCACAAAACGGAGGGGTAGGACTAAGTGGTAGGGGCAAGGGCTGAAATGGGATTGGGCCCAAGAGTGCCTAATAAACTGCAGTTCTACAAGTCACTCAGTACTTAAGTACTCTTTTGTGCAGCTGCTTTTGTATTTCTACTCAAGTACTCAAGTTTTGGAAAAACACTTTTACTTACCGTTATTTCATCCTAGTAACAGTACTTTAAGTTCTGCACGTATACACAACCATGTAAGATTTTTCTCTTCCCTTTCTCTTCATTTAGAATTGTGGATATGTGGAAAAATGTGAGGAAGTCATACCTAAACGTGACTGTGTGGGTGGACTGGCTGAACTCTTGGGTCCCCAATATGCCGTAAGTCAAAGATCAGAATGGACTTCTTCTCTTGGTCTATTTTTAATGTGCTGGTCATGTTCCTGTAACACTGCAACACCATCAGAAAAAAGCATTTTAAATTGTAAACATACCCTCAAAAGTACAAAACGGACCATAAGGCCCAACTGTGTACCTTAAATACCCTACATTCATTTTACCAGGGAAAAAGGACAGACAGTTGTATGCAAATGATTGGTCACTTGGTCAAATTACATGTTTTGTTGATTTGCTTAAGTGAAAATAGAGGCAGAAATTTTAGTGCACAATTTTAAACATAGTCAAACAAAATATAAAATGTGCCTTAGGTTTTGCACATGCCATTTTATGTTTTATTTTTTCCAATATGTTAAATTCAGCCATGTGATAGACTGGCAGCCTGTCCAGGGTGTTTCCTGCCTTCTGCTCAATGAGCGCTGAGATAGGCCTCAGCACCCTCCGCGACCTAATAGGATAAGTGTCTTAGAAAATGTGTGCATGTGTGTGTGTGTGTGTGTGTATTAAATTAGGCAAATAAACAGTGTGTGTACAGTGAAATGTCCAGAAATGTGTTCTCTGCAGAGGACTCACTTACAAAATCAAAGTGTAATTTGACAAGGGGTGTCCAAACTTTTGCATGTGATTGTATTTTCCCTTTTCATAACTTAACTTTTTAAATAGAAAAGTAAAATAAAAAGCCTGGAGTGAGAACAGAGTGTAGGGGTGGAGTCAAGACTACTTAAAAATAAATGTCAGCAGAATTTGGTACAATTATGTTCTGAAATTACAGATACTGAAGATGTGCCCTTGTGGCGTATCACCCCAGTGACAGCTTAGTACCTTTTTTTCCTGTGAGTGTGAGGGGCCACAGTATCCTGCCACAAAACACACCTGATTCAATGAATCAGCTAATGACCATTAGGAGCTGAATTCAGATGGTTAGATAAGGGAACACATTGTGTGCCTCACGAGGACTTGAGTGTGACCCCTTTGTTATAGCATATACATGTGGCTTCATGCACAGGCTCCTCGGAGAACAGGAAGAGGACATAGGGCGCATGATGGAGGAGACGTTTGCACTGGAGCTGCTGATGCACAGTAATGACCAGGGCTATTTTGGAGGTAGGGACAATTCTCCAGCACACAAGGTGTTAAACTGCATAGATATATTGTGTTGATCTGAAGGTTGTAATTCAACTACATCATTCTGGAATGTTAGAATTGATTACAACTGATTTTAATAATATTTAATAAAAGATGTGCTTAATTCTTAAAATTGAATCATGATGGAAGTTGAGGTTTGATAAAATGAACATTACACTAAAGAATCACAATTACATCTCATCAATTGTGCACATCTACTAAAGCAGTACAGGATTTGGGGATTTGGACCTCTCTGGTGGAAATGTGTAATTGCATGCAATGCGTGGAAGAACAATTTGTGAAGCCAGTTGTGCTTTGGGCCCCCATAAGCTGATAAATCTGACTTTTGTGAGTGCGATGAAAGAGCATTCAGTCAAAACTTGGTGAAGGACGTGTCTTCCGAGGATGAGTGAATTATCTTCTAAACATCGTGTTGGACCTTCTTTCTGAGCTTGTGCGTGTGACGTCAATATGTAAAGATGTATGACGTGGTCCAAAGAACAAATCCATCCCGGTACCTCTGACTTCTAAATGATTATTTCAGACTTTACAGGGTGACACGCAGCGGCGCATGCTCATCATATTTTAGTGTGTTATTTTTTCCCCATGCTCAGTGATGCTACTTCATTCAGTTTTTTAGTTTTAACAATAAAATATTACATAGTGCTGCTTTAAACACTACACCTGGACACTCAAACACTTCCATAGCCTGTCATAGGCCTATAAAAATTCAACAGCTAATTTGAAATAATATATTTTCAGGAGCCTACTCTAAAATATAACTACAACAATACAGTGTACTGCATGAATACAATGTACTGCATTCTTCATGGAAAATAATACAGTAATGAAAAGCTTAGCACTGTGGGAATGCCAGAGTATGCTGTCATTGCACAGGTTTACAGAAGGTGTGTTCCCTATTTAAGCAAGCTTAGTATGTTTTCTTTGGTGGGCTAAATCAAATCCCCATTCTTTTACTCAAATAAGAGCTTGAAAATCCATTCTGCAAAGGCTATGTATTACTGTCAACTTCCAACATGGCAAAGTAAGACTAAAAGCAGCTTTAACACCCCAGCAGGGGTTCAACAGCATTTTCTGTATTTTGTCTGGGACATGATCACAAGCATGTGGCAGAGCAAAAATGAAGTAGCCAACGAAGCCATGAAATGCAATTTCCACTCAGTTTGGTGGTTCAGTTTTTTCATTACGCATTTTTTCCTCGGTAGCTTTTGACGAAACGTGGAAGTGTGTTTGTGTTTTTAATGCTATTTTTTACTGATATACCGAACTGTTTCCTTAAGAATCATAATCAAATCAAATCATAGTGAGCTTAGAGATTTACCCCATTGTAAGCACTTAAGAGATTTGTAGAAGAATTAGAATTTTAGCTTTAGAGTCAAACATAAGTTTCATATGAAGCTGAAAGAGTCCCTGAAGACCTTCCGTACTATAAATAGTTGGCTTTTCACCTCCTCAAGCATCATAAAGTCCATCTTCATATGAAACTGACTGGAGCAATATGTAACACCTATGAAAAAAACAGTCTAATGATGCAGCCGGGGGACCTCTGGTCATCTTTGACTGATGTAAGGTAAAACTACAAACGCTATTTCCGGAAACGTTGGGACATTTTGTGATGTTGTAAATTGTTCTGTCTGTTTCATCTTGTGGCGAGGTATGAATAGTTTTTTGCAGCAGGGGGTTCTCACCTCCCACCCCTTCACCTGTCATTGCTCACTAGCAGCTCAACAGAGTCACAACAGAATCTGTGAAGAAACAGAGTTTTGAAATCTCTTGAAACTTTATTTAACTGACAAAAGTACAAATAAATGACTTTTAGTTTTGGCTAACCAACTTGATTGTATTTTGTAAATATAAACATATTTAGAATTTTATACCTGCAACACACTCAACACACTCAATAAAAGCAAAAAAAGGTTTTTAGAATATTACACTGTTTTCAGAACATTCCACAATAAGCAGGTGAATTGGTAACAGGTGAGGGTATCATGATTGAGTATGAATCCACCAAAGGCTTAGTCTTTGCTGGCAAAGATGGGTCGTGGCTCACCACTTTGACAATTCTCCCAAAAAGTTTGGCACAAACAGTTTAAAAAGAACATTTCTCAATGCAGGTTAGCAAAGAATTTAGGTTTTTCACCATCTATCACAATATTATGAAAAGATTCAGGGAATCTGGAGAAAACCACTGTCAAATGTGCGTGAACTTTAAGCCCTCAGATGGCAATGCATGAGAAACCATCGTGCTACTGTGATAAATATAGCTACATGTGCTTGGGGATACTTAGACAACCATTGTCACCTAACACAGTCTGCCACTGCATCAAGAAATGCAGCTTGAAACTATTAATGCAAGGAGAAAGCCCCATGCAGAAACACCCAAGTTCATCTAAATGGCCCGAAAGACAGTGGAAATGTGTGCTGTGATCAGATGAGTCCACGTTTCAGTTTGTTTTGGGGAAAAACGAACATCAACTTCTCCACGCCAAAGACAAGAGAGACCATTCAGACTTTTATCTGCAAAAGGTGCAAAAGCCGACATTTGTCATGGTATGGGGGAGCATCAGTGCCCACAGCATGGGTATCTTCCATATGTGTGAAGGTACCAGTGACGTGGAGGCGTACATTGGGATTTTAGAGATACATATGTTGCCATCAAGATGACTTTTCCCAGGATGTCCCAGGACTCATTCTGCAGGTGTTACCACAGTGTGGCTTTGTAGACATTGCGTGTGCTTGACTGGCCTGCCTGTCCGAATCAGTCCAAATCTGTCTCCTGTCATGATACGCCATACATTTTCTCCTACAGATAAATACATTTTCTCTTGAAAATGTATGGCGTATCGTGAAGAGGAGAATCAGACAATAACGGCTGTTGAGCAGCTGAAGTCTTGTGTCAAGCAAGAATGGGCAAAAATTCCTCTTGCCAAATGGCAACAATTCTCAGTTCACAAATGATTAAAAAGTGTAATTAAAAGGAAAGGCGATTTAACACAGTGGTAAACATGTTGGAGGCATCAAATTCTAAATTTGTTTATATGTACAAAGTACAATTAAGTTGGTCAGTGAAAGCACGGGAAATTTTTTGCAAGTTAAATAAAGGTTCAAGGGAATTAGGAAATCATAGGAAATCATTCTTGTTTTCACTGCATTTTAGAAAATGCCCTAACTTTTTCAGAAATGGGGTTTGTAGAACTTGGCATGTCTCTTGCACTGTGCAGTTCAGAGGTTTAGCCTGAAAAGCCAGTTGGAGGAGTTTCAGCTCATTCTACAAATAGAGGAATGCAAACTGTACTTATAGTGGCATCTGCAGAACACTGCAGCTCCCCTGCTGGCATAAAGGGCAATTCCACAGATTATTTGACAGTCATTTAGAGCGGTTTTATGTGAAATGGTTAATTATAGAGAAACTTACCAACTCAGATTTCTTTACTTTCGTGAGGATAGGAACCAGGTTTCGATGTCTGCAATTTTTCCATATATGCACTGCATGTACCTCTCCCCAATGAATGAATAAAAAAATGCAGTTTAAGCCAACATCTGATCTAAAACTATCATAAAGCAATGTCTCAGTTAGCGATTGTTTCGTAACCATTCAGTGGCTTTCTGTGAGGCGTTAAACTCTTCAGATTGTAAGCAATTCTGATTCGGCAAGTTTCTCTTAAATCAAGCAAGCAAGCAAAGTTTATTTATATAGCGCTTTTTACAACAGGTGTTGTCACAAAGCAGCTTTACAAAGAAATCAGCATTACAGAAAGAAGCAAGCCAGAGGCGACAGTGGCAAGGAAAAACTCCCTAAGAGTAACAGGAAGAAACCTTGAGAGGAACCAAGACTCAGAAGGGGAACCCATCCTCCTCTGGTCGACACCGGATAGTAAACATTGTTAGTATAAAGTATTATAGTACAAGAACGGGGAAAACAGTTTGAGCAAATGATTAATTTGATTAGTTTAGTTTATGCAGCAGCAGCAGCAGCAGCATCAGTGGGGCCAGGTTGTGAGGGTGAGGGTGCACGGCGTTGTACAGCATGAAGCTCAATGGCGGTCAAGCCGGTCCAGAGGGCTGGCAGCAGTGGCACCCGATCAGGGCAGAAGAGGCAGCAGCATCAGAACACACAGGATGGGCAGCTGTTCAACTCGACAAAGAAAAGAGAGAAAGGAAAAACAAACAGAGAGTCAGTTCTGTAATGGGTGACTGATCACAGATTACAGTGTTAGCAGAGCAGCAGAGACTCTGGCAGGTATAGAACCGACAGGGAAAACTAATTACCAAAGGCTTGACTATACAAGTAAGTTTTTAGCCTAGACTTAAACACTGAGGCTGTGTCTGAGTCCCGAACATTAACAGGAAGACTATTCCAAAGCTGGGGGGCTTTGTATGAGAAGGCTCTCCCCCCTGATGTAACTTTATTAATTCTAGGTACTAGTAGTAAGCCAGCACCTTGTGATCTAAGTAGATGTGATGGTTCATGGTAGGAGAGAAGTTCACTCAGGTACTGAGGGGCGAGTCCATTTAGAGCTTTATAAGTCAGTAAGAGAATTTTATAATCAATGCGAAATTTAACTGGTAACCAGTGTAGGGTTGATACAACTGGGCTGATATGGTCAAATTTTCTGGTTCTAGTAAGAACTCTGGCTGCAGCGTTCTGGACTAGCTGAAGCTTGTTAAGGCTTTTGCTCGGACATCCAGCCAGCAGGGCATATTTAACCTCAAACCACTCTGAATGACTTCGTTTATAATACTAACAATTCTGCAAAATTTGATCTGTGGAATTTCTCTTTAAAGGGTTTGTACTACAGTTAGTTTAGCAGTTCAAATCAATTCAATTCAGTTCAACTTTAGTTTTAGGGCAGGCATTAAAATATCAATGGACTGAACTTTGCTGTGTGTGTGTGTGTGTGTGTGTGTGTGTGTGTGTGTGTGTGTGTGTGTGTGTGTAAAGTCTCTAAGGAGCAGCATAGCCCCAGGCCGGAGTATGTGCTGCATCGCGTTGGAGAGGTTGTCACAGAGACACAGAATCACATGGTGGGGGTGATAGTGGGCTGGGACGCTGGACTACAAGCCCCTCCGGAGTGGATAAAAAGGAAGAAATTCACAGACTCAGAGGTCTGAGTACATACAGACTCAGAACACATACACACACCAATATATATATGTACATTGAAAGTAAAGTATGTTTTTTCCTTCTCCTGTATATATATATATATATATATATATATATATATATATATATATATATACAGGAGAAGGAAAAAACATACTTTACTTTCAATGTAAGTCAATGGAACCAGACTTTTTTCCAAGTCATTTTGGGCCATTTCTTTTGGTCAATTCATCATGAAATTTACACACAATGTACAGGGCAACAGACAATTTCAAATTAGGTCAAAAACTGAAAAACGACAAAAATGGAGATAGGATGTTTTCTTCCGAGAGCAGTGTATACAGAGAGAGAGAGAGTGAGAGAGAGTAAAGATTAATCACAGCATAGTATTCTACCTTTTCATAATTAATTTTTACATGACTATTTTCAAACTTCATTTTAATATCTTACAGCTATAAAAGCAGTTTTGTTACTGTGCCTTTAAGACTGATATATGCAAATAAGCTCTGTTTTGACTGGCTGTCCTATTGTCAAAAGTGTATTTCGAGTCACCAGGTCGGCTGTTTTTTTTTTTCTAAATACAGGCAACCACGTTAAAATAATCATAAACGATAATCATAAACTACTAATAAGGCCGAGATTGGGCTGAACAGTGCTGGAGTGTTCCTTTAGGAAATTTCTTCAACTGTATTATTTATTTGTTTGTATTGTGTGTGTAGGTGAGAAGACTGGAGGACACTCCACACTACAGAATTCTGTTCAGTGGCCCTAATCAGTCCTCTCTAATGATTGGATATCTGCCCCAGAATGCAATACAGCTGTTTGAGGGATATCAGGTACACACTCATTCCTCTCTCTCTCTCTCGCTCACTCACACAGATACACTATATATACAAATCAATAAATGTGATTCTTAAATATTGGTAATGGTTATTATTTCTATTCACTATTCAGTTTAGTTAACAAAATAATTTAAATATAATTAGAAAATTAATTGTATAGCTGGACAAAGAAATCATACTTTCATTTGATTTTCATTTCTGTGTTGAGAAGGTCGAGTCTGTACCTTTTCTGTTTGTTTAGATGTCAAAAAATAGCAAAAAAGGGCAAAAACATTATTTTCCTGTTTTTCTGTACTCACTATAACTTTGGAGTCACTCATTATAGCAATAATAGCTTAACATAACTTATACATTGTAGATTTAAATATTGTAAACAAACTGACCTATATATTTAGCCGTTTTATTCAATAAGCTTTTCGGTAACTGAAAAAAAAAAAATATTTACAGTACGTCCTAACCAAGTGTCAAGTTACCTCCACTGAGATTCAATCACAACTTTTTAAATTTTAGGCACTTATATTTTTTAATTTAAACTTTATTCTTCCTTCTATACATTTTGTTTGGCACAGTAATTTTAGAGTGATATACAGCTCTGTTTAATATTCTGAATACATCTAAGATTTAAAAAATAACGCCTTCCCACGAATTTGTGTCATATCATTATATATATATATATACAAACACACACACAATTTCTTCATAGTACTGTTTCTTTCTTGTATATGTTTGTGTGTTGTAGCCAGACATCCCCACTCTGGATCAGTACTTCTATCACTTTGATGGGAAAAGGTTTGTGATGCAGGAGTGGTTGAAAGAGGTTTACCCTGAAGACTGAGGGACAGAACACATCAGCGCACTGAGGACAGAACAGATACACTTCTGTCATCTCACTGTGAAGGTGTGGACGTTGTTCTCCACAGTGGACACATGGCATCAGCTGTTTCAAATTAGCACTTTAGTCACTTTGAGATGCTCTCCTTTCACTGCCACACCTTGAAGCCTCCTGCTTCAGAATGGATGAGATGTGGGTCGGGTTTGTGCTTACAGGGCTCTTGCAGTAGCCTGATTTGGAACTGCAGGGATATTTATGTAACATAGCTTTAACTTGCAAAATACGTGACAGGGTGGAGAGCTGAGGAATGGAGTCCAGCACAGTTTCCTCAATTCTCTGATCTGACAACAACTAGTAATTTACTGAGCTGAATCACTGAAATTACTGAACTGTGCAGGAATGAGGCCCTCCATGAGTTCCCCACCCCGGCCACAGGATTAACATAAATGGCAAGTCACTAAATGACTGTTGAGCAAATGAAGGACCAGCTCATAGAATGAGACTTTTCATTTCTGTTATTTAATTACCAGTGTTGATCATACATACACCAGTTAGTATGAATGTAATTCAGGCAATACAGTCCATGTGATTTTCTTATTTTGTACAACAGTATTGTATTTTAAATTTCCTTAAAAGTTAAGATGTATTAAAACACAATTGAAGTATATGAAGCAGTTCAGAGAGCTCGTTTGGTGATACACTCATGTACTCCATGTGTTACAGTAGCTCACACTGTATCATGATTTTGTTTGCATTGTTGAGCTTAAAGGGGTTTTATTTAGGTTAAAGGGCAATGAAAATCACAGGCCATATTAGACTGCTTTTAAATCTGTGAAGTTTGTCAGATACCACTATCAGTTCTTTTTTAATTGTCTATCAATTTAAAACCCCTGGTAAATGCAGGGAAGACATTTAGTAAGCCAAGTAGCCTAAAGCTTATCCTATTTCAGTGTCTGGTCTATAGAAGGTGACCTTGCTTGCTGCTTTGCATTTTTTATTTCTGATTAAAGTGATACTTTTGACCCATGTTTGGATCCAGCACTTTACAACAGAGGTTCCCACTTTACTTTTCCCAGAGGTTGTTACCACAAGCAACATCGCTTAGTGATATATGACCCGTAAGATTCATATTCATCTGTCTACTTAGAGCAAGAATTCAGTGAAAAATCAAATTTACACAATTTTCCCCATCCAAAAAATATAATCTGTTAGCCAAGACACATTTGGTGTCCAATGTTTGCTAATGTGCAGTACTGTGCAAAAAGGCTTAAGCAGCTGAGAAAATCCACTGGTCCACTGATAATGGTCTTTGGTGAGATCTAATGCCATTTATCTGAGCTGTAATCATTTATCTGTTAAAAAAACACCCTAACATTAAATACAATAAACAATGCATTATAATTTGATCAGTGTGTTTCAGTGTGTTAACCATTAGCTTAACCATTTCCAAAGCTCTCCTCTAACTTAGTTACCATCCCATACCTACTTAATCTAATCAATTCTTTATTAAATTTGTTAATGGAATTTAACAAATCCATGCAATGACTGGAGTGTAGTGAGAAGTCAAAAACCAAACCTGCGTTCTACTAACTCTATTCTATTAATTTTTATTCTATTTCTATATTCTATTAATATAAAAGAAGTATCCTATTAAAACGGGGCAGGCTGGTGGATGGGAGTGGATATCCCATGCACTTCAAGAGGCCAGGTTGATTCTTTTGGGCTGCGTCCTCCCTCTGTTTGACACAAAACCAGTGATGTCGTTGGTTTGTTTTTATTTTTCCTTGTTTTTTTCTTTGGAACGGCTTTGGTGGTAAAGACTGTGCTTTGATGCCACATCTTTCAAGAGGAATTCCATTTATTTTTCTACATTTCTGTATAATTCAGTCATTGGGATGTAAACAAAGCCATTCACAGTGGTTTGATATGAAATGGCTAAAAAACTTGCCGACTTTTTTACTCTTTTTTTTTTTACAGTGGTGATGATAGGAACCAGGGGTCACCATGTCTACCCAAATATAGCTATTTTATTTACTATCCAAAACCACCAGTAAACCTACACGTGTCTTCAGAGTTTTTATATGTAATGCTAAAAAAGAGGTAAATCTGGAATTTAAAAAATTGCCTTCTAACGACCTGCATGTATCTCTTTGACATGAATAGATCATGAAGTACATTGTAGGGCAAAAATTCTTAAAGCTATCATAAAACAATGTCTCAGACCACGAGGCAGCATATTCATAACCATTTTGTGTAAAACTTTCTATGAAGGAGCATCAAAATTCTCTGACTGACTTTGTTTACCTATAAAACACCGAATTATGCAGAAGTTTTGAAAATGAGCCAAACGTGACTGTCCCCCTGTAAGTAATCTTTAACAGACTTCTTGAGTCTGACACTGTATGATATACTGTTATCTATAACCATAGATATGAATACAAACAAATCAGGCTTTAACATGGCTAATAACATTTTTAACAAAGTGACTTCTTGACTTTTTGTCCATTGTTAGTAAAAGTGGTTAAATGCTTTTCTTACCTGTTAGCTACAACTACTTTAAGAACAGACTCTGTAGACCAAGCATATTCTGACTGATCTTGAGGTAAATTGTGTGCATTTCATTTTTCACCAAACCATCGCTTTAACTTGTCTGAACTTTCACCTTCAGACAGAGGATGCCGAGATCAGCATTTATACAGGACTTTCACCAGGAGTGAGAACGTCATAAGTTCTTCCTTGTGCCGTCTTTAGGCCGCAGTTCAAATGTCACAAACACACGTGATGAGGCCCACACAGTCGTCTGGCCCACTTTCTGCTGTAGTGTCAGAGGGAGGGCCACAGACTCTTGGTGGCCACACGTCCATTCCCGCGAATCCTCTTCTCGTACCAGGAGGGGGCGTCCCAGAGCCTGTCCCAGCACATTACACACCTCCTTTGCTTTGAGGCGGGCTGTCTCCACAGCTGCCACACACACACGTCTTCTACAGAAAGCATAAGACTTTGCATTAGCATGTGGTTTTAGTGTCTGTATATAGATTTTTTGCAATAAGTTAGTTTAAAGTTAGAAGACATGTATGTCTACTGGTGATTTTGGATAGAAAATAAAAAGGCTATATTTGCACTAAAGCCTTGTGACCTCTGGTTCCTTTTACCATCACTGTAAATAAATTTCTCATTAAGTTTCTCTACAATTAACCATTTCACATCAAACCCCTCTGAATGAATCTGTTTACATGTCAACCACTGAATTATGTAGAAATATTGGAAACACAGTGGAATTCCCCTTTAAATATGAATCAGTTTAATCAGATTATTTGTCTTGGCAATAAGTGTGGGTTTGCCAGTATAAAACACAATGTAACAGAATAAATACAAGTACACATATATACAGAAAAAAGTAATACTATTTTTTTATATTTATATGCTGGTTAGTAGAAGGATGTTAGATGTTTGGATTTTTACTTATTTCCATTACATGAATCAGCAGCAGCACACCTGATTTTATTTAGCCCACTCACTGATACTTCAAAACACAGTGTGTTGTTTATTTGTGAGTATATTTAATGCTCTTTTTTAATAAATGCATACTGCTCAAATAAATAGCTTTTTTCTCAGATCTACAGTTCTGAGTGTTCCAAAAAGAGTATCCTACATAGGGATTATAAATTGGAGTATCTCTTAAATTGCTGTAAAATTATGGGATGGGTACAGGAGGCCATAAAATATAAAATGTGTTGCAAATATGTTAAATAAAACAGCATTTACAGGCACAACAAGGGCTACTTTCAAACAAACCAGAAAGATTCTGAGGTTGTACTCTCAGTTTGTTGTTGGAAATTCTCACTGCACTGCAAATTTGTGTGCATTTCTTTCTGGAGAATTAGGCCTACCGCACATACCGCAATGGTAATCTATGGAAACCTAACACAGCCCCCTGCTGTCCTGTCCCTGGTTTTACTGAGCTGTGGTGAAGCAAATTTTAGGATAACCTACATTTGAAAACTTTGTTAACATGCTGGGATGCAGAAAAAAAGCTAAAGTAGGTTTAAATGTTCAAATCTGACTATTATTCTTTCTTAACCAAACAGGATTTTTGTGTTGAGACAGGCAGTCAGCAAGTGATCACCTACTGAAAAGAATGGCCTGTTTGTTGTTCATTGCTGCTAATGCTGATTGCCAGAGCAAAGACCAGATATGGCTGTAGCATGAAGTATGGTTGCTGTATTTAATAGTGATCTGGATTGAATTCCTTTCACAACTAAACATTAGGGAGAAGTAGGGGATAAAGTTTGCTTTTTAAAAGCAAGCTAAACTTGCGAACGGTAAAAAATAAGAAGATTATCAAACAAAATACCTATAAAAAATGATCACTTGTGAACCCTGGGTATGTATTGAGTAAATACTGCTCTTTCCTTGAGACACTCTCCCAACGTAATCTTTTGAATCTTTCAAGAGAACCTGCTAATTTATATCAAAGGAAATACACTGTATGACCAAAAGTATTTGGAAGCCTCCCCAAATTATTGAAGACATTCCACACCTGTTGCTAACAGCTGTATAAAATCACAAGTCATGCGATTTCCATACACAAACATTGGCAGTATAATAATTCGTGGTGAAGAGCTCAGTGACCCTCACAGTCATAGGATGCCACCTTAGTCAGTTCATGAAAGCATCTAAGAGCAACAATAGCTCAGCTACAAGTGGCAGACCATGCAAACTCACAGAGCATGTTCGCAGAGTACTGAAGTGCATTACACAAGAAAATCACATATCTTCTGTTGCATCTCTCACTACAGTTCCAGACTGCCTCTGGAAGCAACATCAGCACAAGAACTGTGCGTTGGGAGCTTAATGAAATGGGTTTCCATGGCCGAGCAGCTGCACGCAAGCCTAAGAACACTATACACAATGCCAAGTGTCGGCTTGAGTGGTGTAAAGCACACCGCCACTGGACTCTGGAGCAGTGGAAACGTGTTCTCTGGAGTGATGAATCAAACTTCACTATGTGGCAGTCTGATGGCCAAATCTTGGTTTGGTGGGTGCCAGGAGAACACTACCTACTGGAATACATAGTGCCAAAAGTAAAGTTTGGTGGAAGAGGGATAATGGTCTTTGGTCTTCTTCAGGGTTTGGGCCCCTTAGTTCCAGTGAAGGGTGATGTTAATGCTACAGCACACAAAGACATTTTAGACAATTATATGCTTCCACCTTGGTTTGGGGAAGGCTCTTTTCTGTTCAAGCATGTCCCAGTGCATAAAGCGAACTAAATAAAGATGAGTTTGGCATGAAGGAACTCCCTGACCTCAACCTCACTGAACACCTTTGGGGTGAACTGGAACATCAATTGCAATTGGAACATCAGTGCCTGACCTCTCACATGGCACAGACACGCTCCAAAACATTGTGGAAAAGCCTTCCCAGAAGAGCGGAGGCTGTTATAGCTGCAATGAGGGGGCTCCATATTTATGCCCGTGGTTTTGGAATGGGATGTCCAACAAGCTCATATAGGTGTGATGGTCAGATGTCTGCATACTTTTGCCCATTTAGTGTACTTCATGTAAACACTAGAAATTAAGCGATTATGAAAAAGCCAATTTCAGATAAATTTAACAAAAAATAAATGGCATTGATAATATCAGATCCCTTTCTTTGCTTGATTCCACACTCTACCCTTGACAAACATGGGTATGCAGAAACAAAAAGACCACCTATTTGAGGCTAGCGTTTCTGGTGCCACTCATGTAGGACTGCAATGAAAACGTTCATTTATGAATTTGTCTTCTTGCAAACACAGAAGAACAATGTAAGCAGGATCTTCTACACATTAACATAGGTTTACTGAATATATCTACACAAAATACGTTGTATAAAAGGTTAAAAGCATCAGATAGCAGGGACTTTGTGAGCAAATATGGAAATGCAGAGGGCATATGGAGGCATCTAAATATGACTGTATTCAGACAATCTAGAAATAGTTTAAACAATGTGTTACACTTACCTTAACAGACTGAGGCACCCTTCACTGTGTGAAAACTGAGGGTCCCCAACACACACACTTTTATCCAGCTTTTCAATCAGCACAGAGCGCACACACTCCATCTTCTCAAAGTCTGAAAACACCACACTCACCTAACACACACATTTCAGACCTTGTTAGTTAGATGCTGGATGCTGACAGATGATGTGTATGTTTATAATGTTATAATGTTTATAACTTTTCCAAATGAACACTGAAAGAGTGCTTGGATTACTGATGTTAAGGTATGTGGGCCCACCTCAGCTTGCATGCGGTACAGGTCGCCTTCTCTTTGAATATGTTTTGTCACAACTGTGTCCTCTTCCTTACAAAAGGACAAAAAAAGAAAAGAATTTACAGCCGGAGTCCAGGAGGTGATTTTCCTGCTTGGACACACCTGTTTCAATTCATCAGTTAATTAACATGCCTAGTAGATGCCCTGGATGACCCTTATTTTACAGCTTTAAACAAATGTATGTATGCTGTGCAATAGCAAACAAATAAATGACCACCAACAAATGACCAACTTGTCAAAGATTCAGTTATTGTGAATCTTCTTCAATAAATCAGTTGATCTAATTCACAGGTCCAGCTGAATCAAACTTTTCTCTGTCCCATACACAGGGCCAGCTTCCCAGATCAAAATTAAGCCCAAGCCTAGGCTAAATATAACTTTTAATGGTAAAGCATAATTGACAGAGCAATTTAGTCCAAGATTAGACCTAATACATATCCATGAAACCAGCCATCAAGGTTAACATTTGTAGTATAAACTGAAAACTTCTAATAAATCTTAAATAAAAAGCTTTCCATTTTTAATTTTACAAAATCAGGATCTAAAATGACATTTTTTACATTAATGAGAAAGTCAACCTATCAAAATGTCTGTATAATCCAATCATTGAGATGCTAACAAAGTAATTCGGAGTGATTTGATGTGAAACGTTGTATAGCAGAGAAACTTTCCAACTTACATTTTCTTTACAGTGATAGGAACCAGGAGTTGCAATGTCAACAATGCAAACATGCAAAGGCAAATATTTACTGCTCAGATTAATCAGTGAACCGACATGTGTCCTCGTGTCTTCTGAGTTTTTATGTAATGTTGGTAATGATAATACTGGTCAGTCTGGAAGAAAAACATTCTCGTTGGTCCCCTTACAACTCCCTGTGTGTACTACTCCTTCTTCTATGTGTTTTCAGAAGATATGCTGTACCTGCTAATATCATAAAAAGTATCAAGTGCTGTAATGTAATGTTTGAGGTAATTAGTAACTTCTTTTGAGCAATTAGCCCAAAAATGGAGCTGTTGCAGCAACAAACTTAATAAACAAAGTCATTCAGAGTGCTTTGATGTGAAACGGTTCATTTGTAGAGTCTTTTTATTTACTATCCAAAACATAAGTGAACCCACATGTTGCAAGTTTATATATGTAACGCTGATGATGGTAAATAATGGTAAAGTAATCTGAAAAAAACATTTTGGGGGAGTTTTGGGGGACTATTGTGCTTTTAAACTTTAACCTTCATGTATCCCTCCACCATGAATGGATTAAAATACATTAATTAAAATATGTTTTAGACCAAAACTTTCAACTACCGTAAAATCAATGTGTCAGGCAGTGTATTAATAACCATTTCATATAATAACTTTCTGTGAGGGAGCTTTTAGAGGTGGACGTCTGGTTCCTATCACCACCACTGTGAACAATTCTGACTTGGTAAGCTTCTCTGGAACTAAGCATTTCACACCAAACCACTCTGAATGACTTTGTTGACACGTTAACCATTTAATCATGCAGAAATTAAAAAGATGTGAAGAGACCGTCCCTGCTTATTAAACAAGCGTCTTCGTCGGTGGGTAAAAATAGTAACGGTGTAAATTTATTTTTCGGTAAACTATTCCTTTATGACCGTAAAGTCTGACTTCACATTGAATCACAGAGAGCAATGAATGAATCGTTGATTTGGACGTTCGATCCATTCAGTTAGAAAGAATCGGTTGAATAAAGTGAATCAAACATCCCATCAGTACAGAAAGCCCACCTTAACTCCGTGCTGTCTGGCGGTTTGTAGGATGTACTCCAGCCGGCGAGTTACACTGTTGGCCGCATCGTTGACGCTTTCTTTGCTGCTAGTCACGGAGACGGTCAGGGCGGCTCTGTCCGGCGGGGAACTCAGTTCCGCACTGCCTGTCACCTCCACGCGCCTCGCCGGGCTCCGCGACGGTGAAGAGGCCCGTTTTGCCGTGTGATTGTGCTCTAATTCGTCCATATTTCCGCAAACACCGCCGGTGGCCGGTATCAGAGAGGCGAAAACCCGAGCTGGACTGACCGCCATACTGGTAAATCTACGGGCGCTATGGCAACGCGCGCGGGGGATGACGGGAACTATGGCGCCTTGATTTGAACTGCTAAACAGCGCGAGAATAATATCAGTATTTCTATAATAGATAGATATTTATGTTTTTGATAGTAAATGAAAGGGGAAACGACAATTTAACATCGACACTGGACATGCAGGCTTTTTCTGCGAGTGTTACTACTTTTTTGTATCTTCACTGTTCGTTTGTTTATAGAATGTGTTAACAGCGTTTAACCGCGAGGGGGCAGAAGAGGCCAACTTTAAAGCTTACATACAGAAACACCAGCGGCAGAATGCGGGCTGTATCAATCCGCTCATGAAGACTGTACTTCGCTATTTTATTAAATTGCTCTGCTTTCTTAGAGACGAGCAGCCCCTAAATCATAGTAAATAAATAAATACAAAACATTTTGTGATTTAATAAAAAAAAACCTGCCACTTAAAGCAAACAGACAGAATTATTATTATTATTATTATTATCATTATTATTATTATCATTATTATTATTATTATTATTATTATTATGACAGCAGCAAAGATGTAAATAAAAAACAAATGATTGCTATACTTTAAGAAAACTGTTTAGCATTTTGCTTGCTTTGTTAATTTATAAATTTCTCTAATACTTTAGAAAAAACCTGATCCTAATAAAACTAGATTCATCTTGAATCGATTATTACATTTTAGTTGAGACAGTAAGCAATAACCTTAATATGATATTAAAAGTGATCATGTATTTATTCCTCTGACACAAAGATCTTCAGCATGTTACTAAGATATATTTGTGGAATCTGAATGAAGGCTGTTTATCTTCTGTTTTCATAATTACACAAATAATAAACAAATATGGGGGGAAATACAAGCAAATATTCAAAAACATGGCATGTAAAGCAATAGAATATTCTGTACATGTACTCATTTATTACTGTCACATTTACCCATAGCTATTCTATTCTAACCCTAACCCTTCTCTATTATTCTATCCTATTCTATTCTATTCTATTTAGTGTTTTGTCTTATTGCTGTATTCTACTCTGTTCTGTTCTTTAATATCTTCTACTTTTACTGTTCAGTTTTAATCTGTTCTACTTTACTCAGCTTGGTTTTATTCTTTTCTATTCTATTGCAATGCATTGGGCCATTTCATACTTCATAGGGTTCATACTTCTGTGAAGAATAATGGCTGTTTATAATAATACAGTTAATGGGTTTACATGGTTGCTACGTCTCTGTTTTGTTATTTTGCTGTTTAATGTCTGTAGGCCTGTAGAAAAAGATGGTGTAGCCTAACAGAAGTAGCTACCAGATGGTTTGGTAGCACAGTTACAGGCCGGTCGTGGTCATCAGAGGCCCATCCCAAGCCCAGCATTTCTGCACACAGCGCCGTTTGTTTGCATTCGACTGTGGACCCCTCTTTCTAATCTGGGCCTGAACATGCGGAGGACGTGTTTGTTGATCCTGTCTCGGGTTGCGCATATTTCCATGCTGGCTTTCTGAAACTGTATATCTGATGATGTGCCTTTTGCCAAGATCTGTGCAGCGGGCTCTTTTTATTTGCTTAGCCGTGTGGGTTTGGCCCCTGGAGCTCCGCCATGCTATTGAAGGAGCGGATATTTTAATTTTGCGCACTGAGAGTGAGTCCGGGGATATTAAAACAGACTTCAAACGGAATGATAAGCGCCACAGATAGGCCGAGCACACAGGCTGGATATGGAAAAAAGGCGAACAGGCCTTTCAGCAAAGGCCTCTGGTACACACACTCTTCCACCAACCTTGAGTCTATTAGATATGAGGAGAGAAAATGGTCAACTTAAGTTATACTAATAGACTACTGCACTGTTTCTAAGTAATACTACATGTTTTAGCATTTTCCTGTGCTAACATACCAGACTGAGCACATAAGCTCATTATAAAACCATTCATGAGGTTGAAAAGGGTGTGTTGGTGCAGGAAAGCACACTAAAATGTGGAATGCAGGAGCACTTTAGGACCAGAATTAAAAAAAACATTGTACTAATGTCCATGTAATTGTGTTAAAGTCCAAACTGACTTCTTTTGACCTTTACATTTAGTTCGCTCTGGCTGTTTTTAGCCTTTACATTGAGAAATGAATGATGTCATGTATGAAGAACGCAACTTCAGGGGCCGTAAATGGCAGTTAAAGCAACATGAATAAGGCACAGACATGGATGTTTAATAGTATGGAAATCTTTATATATATATATATATATATATATATATATATATATATATAATGTATAATACATATGTGTGTGTGTATTTGGGTTTATGTAATTATGGAATGTATCTGACATGTTTTATTTAATACAGTACCATGCAAAAGTTTCAATGAAGAATCTATTTTTAAAATGATTTACTCTAAAAAATGCTAATAGTAGAATAAATATAAGTAACATCCATATAGTAAGTAGTGGTTTTGTGTATTTATCCATTTCCAAACCTCTCCTAATGACAACCTGGTATTATTTGTAGATATCATCTAATACCTGGTTTGACTCAGTGTTTCATTCTATTAAATCATTATATTAAATTAAGTGTGCAGGTGATGGAAGTTAACAAATCCCTGTAGTAGCCGAGGGGCATTCAGGATAAATCTGGAACCAAACTTTAAAACTAGCTCACAAGATATCAACTGCATTTTTGAAAATAAGAAATTATTGTTGCTTTTTACTGTGTTTCTGTTTCTGTGCATCTATTGTACTGATATATGGATAAATCACTCTTATTGCCAAGATCCGAGTCTTAAGAGACTTAAGTGCTTAAGACTTTTGCCCAGTACAGTAATTAAATCAAGTAAATTCACTACATCAATTAAAAAAATATATATATATGTTCTATCCAGGGGTCATCTGAGCTGTCCACCTGTGTGTGTGTGTGATGTCAGGTGACCCCCCCACCCCTCCCCACCTGACCTCTCCTGTGCTGATTGGCAGTGGCTGCACAGAGTGCTTCCTGCAGGCAGCGGGCCCTGGGAAAGCAGGGAGTGGACTTTTCCCTTTAAAAGAGTTTCTGGACATGATTAGATAGATCAACAGGAGGGGACAGGGCTCGCTTGCGGGCACATAGTGTGCGTGTGTGTGTGTATGTGGAGTGCATGTGTGTTTGGAAGTGTTTGTGTTTTCCCATGTTTCCTCCCTTTGGCACTACAGCAGTTCTCAGACTGTCGCTGTGACTTCTGTGGGTTTAGACAGTATCAGATTAAACAAGAAGAGCTACACTGTTACACTGTGTGTGTGTGTGTGTGTGTGTGTGTGTGCTTGCGTGTGTGAGTGTGTGAAAGATGGAGGCACTGAAGACAGGCGATGCATTTGGTTTATTTAAATGTGTACATAATTTCCAAATGACTCAAATTTATTTTATCAACCTCATGACTTTTAGTTCACTTACTTTTGACAGTAACTGTATTGATGCAATACATTTTGTTGAAATGATAGGAATCAAATAAATCAATCAGTGTCACACTGAAAACACTGTGCAGGGAATTGTGCTTAAGATTAAGTTGGACTTTCTTGACCCTTACAGTTAGTTTGCTTTGCATGTATATAGCTTTAGGTTTTGCTATGAGTGAAATATTGTATTAAAATGCATTTTCAGGCTCCATGATGGTGTTTTTAAAGCATCATGAATATGTACAGTATAGAACACTTACAGTATGGTGAAAAGTCAGAGAAATTCTTTTCATGTATTTAATTCCATTTTCAAAAGAAAAAGAAAGGTGTGTTTGGGTAGCTGCTTGTGTGTCTCTTAGAAAAGGAACATAATGTTTTAGTTGGGAGGATGGTTGGTTTTGAGATTGGAAAGATGGAAGAGTTAAAGTGGCACTAAGGGCACCGAATTAAAGAGTGGACAAATTGATAGAACTGATGTTCTGGAGATGCCTGTGTAGTTTTCTGTTTAATATCCATTCTGCTTTTTCTCACAATGAACAATAAATAAGTTGTACTTAATGTTTTTCACTGGAAATTAAATAAGCTTGATCTCTGACTTAAAACCTGTATAGCATTAATAATAATAATATTAACAATAATAATAATAATATTATTATTATTATTATTATTATTATTAACAGTTATTATGATTATTATTAAAATCTTGAGGCAAATTGTAAGTGGATAATAGCAGTACATTTACCATTTAATTAATCAGTTTAATAGCAATGTTTAATAATACATGAAATATTGAATGAAAGCTCTAAAATACATTTTGTACATTTCCAGTACTGTGAAAAAGACTCAGTCCTTCTAAGAAAATAATATATAAAGCTATTTATCAGGGCAATAAACAATAGAATTAATAAACAATACATACACATTAAATGCATGAGTAGACTAGTTTAACTATTTCCAAATACTCAAAGTCCAGTATTTACAGTAACCATTCAATATCTAGTATATCTAATCAGTCTTTCATTAAATTAAATCAGGTGCTGCTGCACAAATGTAACAAATCCAAGCGATGGCTGGAGTGCAGGAACTGAACTGCTCTTCTAACTAACATATTGATAACTTTTTTAAACAAGTCATTTTTATAACATTTCACTGTATCTATGTTTATCATTATCTGTGTTTATTTTACTGTATCTCTTTATGCAAATGTGTGATTATGCCCCAGACGAATTACATGCTTTGTGAAAACAAGTTAACACATCCTCAACAGGGAACACACTTAATTATGGCATTTGTCTGCAACTTTTAGTGCTCAATTTCTGTTTATTGCTGAGATTAACATATTGGAAAAAATCTAAAACATTAATTCTAAAAAGTTTTTAAAAAGTTGCCATAACTTTTGCAAAGGCCACATTGTATATATATATATATATATATATATTTTTTTTTTTTTCTATTTTTCCCAGATGTTAAACTAGGTAAATAAACAGCAATGGTGCATTGAAATTCGAAGAATTGGGTTCTCTATACACTGTAGAGGATGTGTTAAATTAGCTTTACTCAAAATCA